GAGTGGGTTGAGAGAGAGAGAGTCGCATGTAGTGAGAGCACAGGTTGGTAGGTCGGAACGTAAGGCTGGATGGGACTTGGTCGTCATTGAATTGTGTTGAACCTCGGGAACTGAGTTTGTTGAAGGCAAACAGTTGGAAAGCAATCAATCAGAGTTCAGTTTGTATGTAGTACGGAAAAAGGGCTACCAGAATGAATCCCATCACTACACATACTCCCAGCCCAACCAGTTGGTTTAGCTGGTGGGTGAGTGTCGTGGTTGTGTAAAGCACGACCGCGGGGCAGGGCGAGATGGGTCGGGAATTATCCTTATTATTGGTACAGGGGGCCCTTGGATAGGGAAAAGTGGATGATAATTCAAAGTAGCAGGGGATGAGGTAGCCGTGAGCTATGGATGGATGGATGGGAGTCCTTGTTGTGCGTGCCCCCTGCCTTCTACTTGATCATCCTGTCCCAGGGGGAGGCCACCCTAATTGAATCGAGTACCCGATCCGCACACCGCTCCTGCTGTTCAATGCTCACTCACTCAGTCACTAATGGAAATTAACACAATATGGCAACAAAACAAACAACTTTTCAAAAATGGGTTCATCATACATCCATCTAGTCAAAATAGGCGAGTTTAGCTCGACGAGGCCGAAAAGTCCAGGGATCAAGCAGCGAATCAATCAGGGACCTGAAGTCTGAAGAGAGAGGCGGAGGCAGCTTCTCTCGTGGCAGGGGTTATGGAATTCCGACGCTTTTCCTCCTACCCGTGGGACCCTTCCAGAAAACAAGGTGGCAGTCCTACTAATTTTTAATGGGATAACTACCCCACCAACCGTGACAGGTCTCCATCACCCATCAAAAGATCAAAATGAACGCAAAACATCAGATCCTTCTCCCGTCGGATACCAGAGAGAGAGAGAAATTGTGATGGATCTTGTTTTCATGCCGGATTTGGGGAATAACAGGAGGGAAAAAATGTAAAGTTTTCCAACAGAAAGACCATAGGTAAGCAGAGCAGGGAATAGAAATCAAGTGGAGAGCCAGAGAGAGAGAAAGAAAGTCGTCATGCCAGGCTCCACGAGAGGCAACCCTGACAATAATAAGTAGAGGAAGGATATAATAATCATAATAATTGTGCGGTCTTGTCCTCCTGCTTCGTCCCCAGCGAGTAGGATCCGTCCGAGTCGGTCATCTCGCCGCATACATCAATTATAATCGTATCATTTCTGGAGAAAGTATTAGTCTGCGTCCCACCCAAGAATAAAGGAGGAATTTAAAGATAAGTCTGAGACGGAGAAAGTCTGACCGAGATGATTGTGTTTTTGGGGAGGTCATAAAATTTGATCAGTGTCACCCTCCGTGGTGGGTGAATTGATTCATGGGCGCTTGGACGCGAGTGGACAAGCGGCGGCGCGGTGATTAGGCCGGTTCCAACGGCGAAATCAGATTTCCCAGGTGAAATTCCTCATGAAACATGCAGCTCATCTTGTTGTAGCTGGAGGAGGAGGAGAGCTTATTGCATATCACTCACTCTCTCTCTCTCTCTCTCTCTCCCTCTCTCTGACTGACGATGAGACTTTCTCGTCCCAGTCACAATCGTGGGAGAAGAAGTTACAGGAGCAGTTCTTGTCTCAATTATGCAAATTTCAACTCCTTGCGACGACCTGCAAGTAGGAGATGTTCCACCACCACCACCACCCCCAGCGTAGCAGGAGCAGCAGCAGCATAGGAGCAGACAATGGATGGATGGAGGAACTTCACTCACTCTCCCTTTCTCTTTTTGACAGGTGAACATGGTGCAATCTCCAAGAGACTTGAGACCTGCTGCCTGGAAGTGCATATGGCCAAGGCTTCGTGGGGGCTGGATGTACGTCCGTACTCTTCCTCAGTACGTGTGTGTACATCGTATGACCAGCCACCCCGCAGGAGGAAAAAGAATCTCTCAATAAGTTGGGTTGGACGGAGAAAAGTGGAAGGAGAAGAAAGTGGAAAGTAGAAAATGAGATTTGTTTGTACATGTAAATTAATAGGAACAGTTTTGGCTGTTGATGAATTTTTGTGTGGCGTGTCTTGGAGAGATTTAATTAGAAGAAGGCGATGAATAAATGATGGAGGAAAAGCCAAGCAGCCAGTGAGTCGCTCCCAATTATGGAGGAAGCAACTTTTAATTACTTCACCTCCTCAGCGCCCACCACCACCAAGTCAACCACCACCACACACACACTGCCATCCAACCATCCAACCAACCTCCATGCCCATTAGGCCACTCTCCGTCCCTCCCGCCTCTCTGGATGACCCCGCACTTCTGGCGTAATTTCCGCTTTACAAACAAAAAGTAAAAGTAGCGGAGGAGAGCATTTCCTCCACAACAAGAAAGACAGGGAGTGAGGAGTGCTGTGCAGCACAAGGCAGCACCACACCCACCCACGAGGGACGGCTTCCTCCTTGTGTACTTTCTCCTCCTCCTCCTCCTTCTTCCTCCTTCCGCAGCACTTGGAATCTATCCAGTCACTCCATCCATCCATATGGCTGTTGTTCGAGCTGTTGGTGATGGTAATTAAGTGCGTGCATGCATGGCTTCCACTTACTTTCTCTCGAGATTGGAGGGCCGACCAGGCCACAAACAACCTTTTAATCAAGTCCTTCCTTCCCCGCTTCTTCTTGTGCTAATAACACTGGGCTGGCTGCATATGTGTGCACATGTAGACACTTGGAAGAGAGGTGGTTGGGTTGGTGAGTTGGTTGGTTGGTTGGTTGGATTGCATGATGCGATTGATTTTTGCTACTTTGTTGGTTCTTCACTGGTGACATATGGACTCGACCTGCACGCACGTTCTTCTCCGTGCACCACCCTCCCCACCACATGCAAGGAGGAAGTAAGGAAAGGAAGGATGAGTCGCCCGGCCCGCGCCCACCTGTCCTCCTCGCCTTGTTCCTATGTGGTTTCCAACACGCGAACGGCCAAAGCACCTGTCACTTTACTCCCCCAAACATCCATCCATCCATCCATCCCGGCCCTTAAAGAGCCAGGAAGTAAATATTATCATCATTATTATGACGAGAGAGAGAGTGCGAATAAGGTGTCTGCTTATTGTGCACGAGATGGAATGGATGCAGAAAGAGGAGCAGCTATGAATGTGTTCCAGCGTCTCTGGGGACTCTCGGGACCCCATCAAAAATTCAGATTGGTTGAGATTCAGCCAGGTTGAGGGGGTGTGGATTGGATGAAAAAGAAGAAATAATAATAATGCCATGATTCCACCACCACCAGCTGGAACACGACTGCTTATTTTTACTCTGCTACCAAGGAGGAATGGAGAGGAGGAGAAGATGTTATCTTTGCAGGTGTGGTGGTTTCATTGAATAATGCCTCCTTCTCCTCCTATAGTTGCGATTCTTTCAATTGCTGCACATCATAATGGGATACACGTTGCGTTGCTATGTACGGAACGTAGGATTATGTATGTGCTCAAGTACCACTGCTGGTGGTGGTGGTGGTGGGTAATATTCTGCCTGCTTTCCCTTTTGACCAAGGGAGACTTTTGTGCTCTCCTTTTTATATTTTTTGTTTTTTCCTCCTCGTGGAAAGGCTGTTGGGAGGAGGAGGCGGAGGAGAGGAAGAAGAAGAAGAGGAAAGAATAAGAAGTCCAGTCTCGGGGGTAGCATTAGGGGGAGCGTGTAGAAGATGGCTATAAATTCGGGTGCAATTTCCCCAAACAATTGCGCTGCCCAATAAAAGAGGGAATTAAGGGGCAATTGAAGGGGAATTGAGGAGCGGAATTACCTCAGAGAAAGAACTAAGGAAAGGCAAGAAACTAGTGCGCACTCCCCAAATTGCTTTTTCGTCTTCTTTCTTCTTCTTCCAGAGACTAGCTAACCAACATTCACACCACGTACCAAAGGAGACCAAGAAGAACCAACGCCACGGATGATGCCAGCCGGAGAAGAAGGAGGAGATGGACGCGACGATGCGATGCGATCCATGGCCACAATAACAACACGCCACGGAAAGTATGCAGGCATCGAAATGGTGTGGGTGTGGTGGTGCTGATGACGCCATGCAATTTTACTTCATGGTTATCTCAGATAACTATTGGCCCCCACCACCACCGCCACCACGCACACTTCAAAATCTATCTCTTGGAGGATCGTGAAAGAGAGAGAGAAACGCTTCTGCATGAAATTATTGTTCAGTGAAACATGAGTTGCTGGCTGATACCCGGGCTAGAAAAAAAGGAACCCGGGTATCGGCCTCTTCTTTCCCAGGATGAGACTATACCGTATCCTGGTCCTCTTAACGTTTAACTCAGGATCAGTGCGAAATGCAGCATTCTATGACGGGATGATAACAAGGATGAGGAGGAGGAGAGGGCCTTGGAAATAAAGAACCCATGCACCACCAGCCCTGCAGTCTACACGGCGTTGAGTCCATTCGTGGTGAAAGTGACTGAAGGGAAAACCGCGAGTCGTTCCTTGGTGATGAGTGGTGGTCATTGGTGGTGGTGCTGGCTGGCGGTGGTGGTGCATGGATGGATGGAGATGAAAAGCAGCTCAGCTTTTTAAGTCCTCACGTGCTATTTAACCGTACCATCATCCTGCATGGGTTTTCTCCTCTGCAGATGATGATGAAAGTGAAACAAAGAGTGAGGTCTCTCTTCTTCTGGTCATTGAGGTCAGCACAATAATAACGTAATCCTACTAGTTGGTAGGCAGGTAGGAGTCCGAACTCTCTCTCTGCTGAACGACACATAAGTAACACACCTGGTTTTGTGAACAACTTTTACTTGCTATCTCTCTCTCTCTCTCGCTGACTTCTTTCTCTCTCTCTCTTTCTGACTATCCTGGTGGAGAGGTGGGTGATTGTGATTGGGGAGAATTGATTACTGCTCCAACTCCGCCTCTGCCTCGCTCCGCCTCGACCAACCTCCACGCACCCCGTCGTCCCGGGTGGAAGAGGGAAACCCGGGTGTTTTGTCCAGTCACAGTGTCTGCACCAACTCCCCGCCTGGCTCCAGTACACTCTGGCTTCAAGAGTGAGGAGGGTTCGCTTCCAGTTCGAAAGCTTCACTCCACCACCAACTCTCACACGGAAGGGACGACCACCAAGACCAGGCTGGGGTACACCACTACTCATCACAGTGTCCAAAAGAAAGCAGAAGGGCCTCATTCACTCTGCAAATAAAAAAGCTCAACTTTCACTCCGAGAAGAAAGCAGGCAGATAAGCGACCCAACGAATTAGAGAGCGACAACCAAAGCAATAAAATTGGAGACAGCGAGGCTCACCACGCGAAGAAAAAGAAGACTCTGACCGATTAAACCAGTGTGTCGTTTGGAATCTGGAAATATAATAAAATAGCATAAGTTGCAACAAAGTAGGAGTAACAACGTGGTGGTTGATACAGTTGGTGATGCAAATTAGTTGGTTATTCCACTCGACACACCACACCACCACACATAATAAACCGTATAGTATCGTGGAGGACAAAGCCTAAAGTACGGTAACAAGAACGTGGAGTAGTTTGCATTATTAACTGAGCAATTGTGAAATTGATGGGACCATTGATCCATTATTCAGCAGGGCCCATTCAGCTGTAGAACAACACATGCACATTTTCTCTCTAGGCCACTTTTTCCACTCAATTGTCAGTCTACTCCTCCTCGCCTGTTTTTGACCTCAGGTGGTGGGACTTGATAAAACAAGGGACACACCACGTTCTCCTATATGCTCACACTACTACCACCCCCTCCCGATCGTGGTCAAGACAGTGATTCGCGCCCACCCACAGTGCTTCTTCTTCGAGTGAGTGACAAACTTTATTTGCAAAAAGTGGGCGACAAAACTTGTCCATGCCGGAGGAGCAGGATTAGCAAGACTGTCAACTAAGAACTGCGACCAGAGTCACACCCCCAACACGACCACACAACAGGGATCAGATGCATAGAGGTCAGTCCGTTCATTTTATGCTGATAAGTATCTCATTTTCTCACTTTGCCCCCTTAAGGGACTCGCCACCTCGTCCCCATCACTTTCACTTAGCCTCTCTCTTCCCTTTCCTTTTGTCAGCAGTTTTGGTTTTGTTTGAGGCTGACTATGAAAAAAGGCAGACAAAGTGAGTGAGTGAGCAGAGATGAATTAGTGGTGGGTAGGGTTTAGAGGCTGGTGGAGGAGGGAAAGAAAGAAGCGGTTGGGGAACTAAAAGTCACTTTCACTTGGAAAACTTTAGAAAACTTTGCTAACTAATTGACTAACTACCATCATCACCATTTGGGAGAATTGTTTCTTTCTCTTTGTTTTATGTGCGTAACTCTGACTTTCTCCCCAGAACCGTTTAGCGGCATTGTGATGGTGATGATAGTCGTCGTGGTGGAAGTGGTGTGCTTACTTAACTTGGCTCCACCCTGCTCGACATGGCATCGCATAATCTTAATTACTTTCTCCCTCCCATCGCCCCCCTTCCATCCTTTCCCTCTCTTTTCATAATTTCTCGTCCCTCGCAATCCTGCCATTGTTGGGATTGATCTCATTGTCGTGGTGGAGGTACTAATTGTTGTTTTTCTCAGGAGGGGCCACGGGTGCGCCATCGTACTACCCCACGGCGGTGGCCATGTACTCGTCGGACAAAGTGATGAATGGCAAGCCGCTGGGCTCCGCGCCCGGCTCTTGTTTCCCTGGCAGATATTCCCCCACTTATCGTGGACCAGACCCTATGCGCCGCTGCGTCAACCCTACAGTAAGAAAAAATAAGACCACATTTCTAGCCTTGCGTAACAATAAATTGCATTCGAGAGATGACAATGGGCCAAAAAATTAAAAGCAAACATGAATCTCCGCACATACGGTTACGTAAACATCTCGCTCCTTCAGAACTACGGCGTGACTTTTCCCAAAATAGCGTGGCCGGAAAAGTACATCATGGCGACGATGCTCTCATGTCCATGGTGGCGTTGGTAGAAGAAGTTATTATGCGACTGGGTGTATATTTATCTCCACTTCTGGGCTTAATAGTTATTCACTCAACTGTTGTGTACGTAACAAGGTGACGTTTGTCGTAAAGTTCTCCTCAAGCTAATCGATCCTCCTCATCCTTATTTGTCCCTAATTGTCACCATGCTCCTGCTGCCGTTATTATGGGACATTAAAGTACCGATTTGTATGGTTCGGTTCAGAGTGAAAGTCAGAGTAAACCCTTCTCCACTATTTTGACTGTCCATGCAGGGTCATCATAACCCATCCTCCCAAGTAGTCAGTCACCTTTCTTGAAGGCTGCTGTGCAGAAAACATGCTAATTTTTTGCCTCCTCTTTTTTTGCGTGCCCATTCATCTCGTCTGGAAATCTGAACCCTGGTGGTGCAAGTAGGGCTGATGTTATTTACTATTAGTGCGAAAAAGTGCGAGTGGGTGAGGCATGAATATTTCAAGGGCTGCACTCACTCACTCACTCAGTCACTCACTCACTCACGGCGGCTTCTTCCTCCTTTCTCTATACTTGTGATACTCGTACGTCGTGTACTGATTATGAACGCAGCATAAAAAATTCATACCCCTGCAACCACCACCACCACCGCCGCCACTGCTGCACCAGCTGCCAGCCAGTAGGGGAGAAAGTGAGGAGAGAGATACTGAATGAATAACTTTCTCCTCTTGTTTTGTCATTCCTCCTGCTTCTGGTGTGTATGGTAGGTGGGTAGGCATGGATAGGATGGCGGTGGATAGATAAGTGTCTTATCATCATTTCCTTCCTCTTCCTCGACTGATACCCTCTTTCGCATTATAAACTCAAAGTCTTCAATCCACTCCGGTGGAACAGAGTGGCAGTGACCCAGTCCGTGTTCTGCAACCTCATTAATAGTGCACCGCTTTATGCACCGCCCTGTCACCCGGCCATGCAACTTTAATGGTGTGTGTGTGTGGATGTGTGTGTAGTGTTTAGATTCTTTTCTCTCTCCATGCACCATGCATGCCTTTTCTCAAGTAAGTAAGACACCACCACGGAGGAGGCTAAAAACCCAGGAGGTCGGAAAGACTGCACTTTTTCAAGTACAGGGGGAAAAATTGGGGCCGTGGCGAAATGAAATTGGCGATTTCTGAGAGAGCAGTCATCAAGATTGAGACCACACACGGCGTGGCGTGAGGAGTTCTTTATAGTCGATTTGACCGACCTTTCCCGTCTTATTTTTTTTTTCCTCGGATTGTCTTCAGAGATATGGATTCATGATGATTGGCTGGTTTGAAGCCGTATAGCTTAGAAGGACTACTACGCAACCACTTTGATGATGATGCGGAGTAGTAGTGGTCGTAGTCGTAGGAAGGATGAATCGATCCAATGCGAGGCCTCCACCATACGACTTCTTCTGGTTGGAGTGAGTGGAGGAATTCCGCAGCCACAACCTCTTTCGCCTCCATTGTTGCTGCGTTGCGCCCTTCCTCCCATCCCGTATTCTTCACCACCAACAACGAACCGCTTCTTCACCAGCAGCATTGTATCCCACGGATGATGTTTTGTTGGAGATGGATGGAGGATAGCAGCGTCCATCGAAACCAGGAAGACGAAGGAGCAGGGACTAATTGACCACATAATGCTGCACCATCTCTCTTCGCTCGCCAGTTCGATACCTCTAAAATTCCCTTGTTTCACCTCCGTTTGGATTTAGAGAGAGAGAAAGTTCTCAAGCGTGGAGTAAATCCAATCCACGTAAAACCACTCACTCCGCCACCACGCGAGAAAAGACAATTGGTCCAGAATACCAATCAGTTTTTCAATGCTCATCTACTTACTCTCTGTTACTCGAAAATGATGTTTGGTCGGTCATCATCATCACCACACCACCAGGGCTGCTGCTCTTTTTTATAATGGGAGACATATTGCTCATTTATCATATCATTTGTACTAATAAATATTGCGAGCTGAAAACTAATTTCATGGTTTACATTGCATGTCCCTGTTTGAAGTTTGATCCGGATCCGAGATTAGAATTTATGATGCTGCAACAGTTGTTGTTGTTGGTGGAGGGTGGCCCCTGGGGGGTTGGACACAGCGGCAGCACTGTCATGACGATGATTCTGCTGGTACCACTGCCAGTTGGTTCGTGGGCACTTTCTCCCTCGAGACTCTGCTTCTTCTTTTCGCTCTCTGATCATAATCAAAACACAATCAGCGGAAAGCCTTTGCTCCATCCTCACTTGGAATCAATTAGGCTTTATGAGAGAAAGAGAGGAAGTGTAGACCAAGTACATGGCTGGGTGGTTGCAGTATCGGTTTGGTTATGGGAGGCCCATTTGTGGGAGCAGCAGTGTGGGAGTGAGTTAATGAACTCTAAAGGAGATGCTATAATCACCACATTATGGCGCAATAATTTTTATGGCTTTCCACCCCAACCAGAAAGTCATATATTTAGGCGGCCCTCTCCTCGTCTTCGTCTTTCTCCATTCCAAACACTCGTTCCGCTGTATCCACTCACCTTACGAAACTTGTTGGTTATTGTGCAATTCCACTTTCCACGCCGTCAACGAACGTACGAACGAACGAATGTATGTGGCATAAATTGTGGACAGTCATTCCTTAAAATTCTGTTTGTTTGCATTTCGTGACGGATGGGAAGACCAATGTGCATACAAACATACATACATTGTAGTAGGTAGTTCCCTTTCCATGTTTTCGAGAGAAAAGGAAATGTGGTTTGTTCCTCCTCCGAGATCAATACCATGAACATCACAAATAGTCCTCCTCCTCCTCCTCCTCGCTGCACATGGAGGCAGCCAGCCAAGGGAAAGTCGAGAGTTTTAAGAGCTAAAAAATATATATTTGATTTTTTAAGAAGGAGACCCTTACGAATTCTCCGTCTCCAACAAAAAAAACATTCACTTAAAGAAGAGGGGGAAAAAAGTTGAAAAATAAATCTGCCTGACTTTTCTGACAAAAGAGAGAAAGCAAGAAGTTAGAGGATTGAACTGCTTTCTCGTGTTTTTGGTTTGTAAATGTATGTAGAGAAATGTAGGGAAAAAAAGTGGTGGTATGAAATGGTTGGTGTTTCTCCCTTCCTTTTTTGCAGCCATCGTGTGTGTGTGTGTTCATGTGCATGTGTGTCTTTGTATATTTGTTTGTTTCTTCTTCTTCTTCCTCTCCCAGTTTTTGGTTGGGAAAGAAGAAGGGGACAAGATTGACATTTGAGCTGGTTGGCTTGCAATAAGTTAGTCTTCTTCCTTCCTTCCTTCCTTCCTGTGCTTGTGTCTGTGCATGTATGTGAGTGAGTGAGTGAGTTAGTGAGTGTGCTGTGGTGGCATCGTCGTCGTCGGTTTGTTCTCTCTCTCTCAATTTCGGATGGAGAAAGTGGAAAACTGGGTACACTGGAAGGACGGAAAAGGCGCAGTTAGAGTGGTAGGAGAGTGGAATCCAATTTCTGTTGTCGTGATGGGGCATTGATGGCAAATGGGACTTTTTTACGTGGGGCATCATCATCTCTGCCGTCTACCTAACTCGGAACTACTCCTCTCTCTCTCTCTCCGTAATGTAATGTTTGCTTACTTACTTGCTATTCCTGGGAGCTGGAGAAAGAAGGGAGACAGACCAAACCACACGCACAATTCCTCCACAAAGACGGCGAGGATGAGGCCACCCAGAGAGGACGGAGGAGGGGGTGCATCTCCCGACGTGGGGAAGAAAGTGGGTGGAAAGTGCCCGTCCAACTGTGTGGACGATCCCGACGGATGGAGAGGGGGAGCTCTGGCCCGGTGAATGTGTGCGTTACCCACTCGCAACTCCGGCCCTCATCAATTATTCACTCCCACCACTCGGACTGCACGGTCCTCCCCATTTCGCTGGATGGGGGTGTGCCAACAGAGGAGCAGGAGAGAGGTATAGATAGTGGTGCTGGTGGTGGTGCTGGGTATATGCAGGCAGGCAGGCAGGATCAATGGTTAGGATGGATTGAATGTCTTGAGTGGGTTGGATTGGATTCGGGTGGATTAGCATAAAATTCTGAGGGAGAGCCGCAAATGGTCCATTATGCACTTTCCTTGTTCTCCTCTAATTGCATCACTTCTACTCAACTCGCAGTTCCTTGAGTTCTAATTATGGAGCCCTCTTTCTCTCTCCTTCTCCTCGCCCTGTCTTGAGGAGGAAGCCCACTTTCTTGGGCTGACAGTGTACGGCACTCAGGACCAGTCGTGGTGATCCTGGCAGGAGTGTGTGGTAGGATGCAAGTCCTCCTCTCGCTCTCTGCCCTGTGCACACGAAGAGACGACACAATTGTCTCTCCGGAGCTGGTGGTGGAAAGTTGGCTGAGCGGGTTTCCGAGCTGTTTGGAGGGCCCCCGGTGAAAGCGGTGGTTGGCTGAGGACAGGCCCGTTGAATAATTGAGGAGCAGTCAATTTCCCAGTTCACCAGCCCATCACTCCACCACCAATGAAGAACCAGGCAAACGAACCAGCAGCAGCAGCAGCGAGAAGTTGCAAACCAAAAGAGTTCCAGCAGCTCTTTGCTCTTGTCCTCTCTTTTCTGATGCTTATGCGCCTCCTGCTTCTCCATCCACCTTACTTTTTCCACTCTCCTTCACTCTTTTCGCCCGTGTGTGCATGTGTGCATGTGTGTCGATAAGTGTGTCTTTATTCCGCTTCTCGGCTGACTTTCCCTTTTCTTGGTCATCCCACCACGTGGGCTTAATTGGGGTTCAATATTTCATGCCCCGGCCCCTACATAATTAAACATACTTCTTAAAGATGCACAAGTAAACGGAGCAGCACCCGACCTTCCACAACCAAACCCAGGTGAAAGGAGAGGAAAACTTGTACTTTCTCTCTCTCTCTCCCTCTGGATTTTGATGGTGTCAGGGTGAGTGATGGGGCTGCTGAGTCGTCTCACTCGTGATCCACTTGAGATGAGAACGACCCTCGTCGACGAGACGGTTTCACATCTTCTTCTCAGAACCGGTGGGAATAACCCGATTGCGCCCATCAACGGCCAAGGAGCAGCAAATCCTAATCCAATCCACTCAATGGCACATTAGCACCAAGGAGCATATGCACACATCATCGAGAGTGAGGAGGACCTGGTCACTGGGTGGGTGGGTGGTTGGAGGGTGCATGGGAGCAAGGCACGTGGTGGGGATTAGTCCGTGTCACCCACCGGGTTACTTTTCCCTCACGACGAGATATCTGGTGGTGGGGGATATGAGTGTAAAGAAGAAAAAAAGAAACACTCGTTGAGCTAAACTTCATTTAATTTCACGACGGCGACGACCCACACTCCTCGCACCGATCCATCCATCCATCCATCCATATCTCCATTAGGAATTGATGAGCTCGAGTTGTTCTTGGTCATGTCGCTGGTCGGCCTTTCTCATGCTCTCCGACCTGAACATGACTCTCTTTTCCACGGAGCGAGAAAATTCAGGAGATGCACGGCGAGTCTGGCCACGCCAATCGAACCAGGTTGTTAGCCATGCCGCAACCTTGGATGGCAACAACAACAACCATCCAGTTAGTACGTATTTACACCAACAACACAACTAGGCTATGACTGCGGTGGGTTGGTCGGTTATCTGATCGAGATGGAGATAGATAAGGGCATCATCATGATGATTCCCTGGTCCGAAAGAATAATGGATGAGGGGACACGCCGCATTCAGCAATTATTCACCACACCTCCGTTCTCCTCTTGTCGTCGGTTTAGTTGGTTGGATAATAAACTGATGACCACCACTTCCGAGGTGGGAGCCTGCCTATTTCTTCTCGGGAGAAAGTCGCACTCAACTTCAGGCCATGTTTTTCAAAGTCCGTTCAACATGTCCAATCTTTTTTTGCTTTGGGTTTATTTCGAGACCCCATTTCACTCGCATCGTCCTGCTTTCCGGACAAGTCCAACAGACTCACTGCTCTCCGGCCACATCCGCCCTTCGCTTCCAAGCGTCAAACTATATTTCAGAAATTTCATAGTTTAAAATTCTGACAGGAAGGGAGGAAGTATGAGTGGGAGTGGGAGTGGTTTTAGGACGGCGGCAATTTATGCATACAACGCGGCCTACCATGTAGGTATTACATATATCGAACCATTGCATCGTCTAGTGTGCAAATTGTGTAATACGTGTAAATATTTATAATCCCTGTATATATCTAATCCAGTTTTTGCATATGCGATTCAAGTCTCGGAGTTTTTTGCAAGTTTTTCAACTTTATCTATTCTTACCCCCGTTCCCACTGACTAACCTCAGCTCAGAAATGGATCAGTCTGCCAGGTGAAAGTTGACTAATCTCGTTGTTCCAACTTTTTCAGGGTGACCTGTTTGGAGGGCTGAATGACGGACTTCTCTCTCGCGCCGAGGCTCTTGTCGACATGGGAAAGCACCCGGGCGCGTCGCCACCAGGACTTCAGCAGCTCAAGCATGACATGATGTACCATCCGGGGATGGGGCCACCTCACCCCTCCCACAACCCCCGAGGACCCCACCAGGTAAACACCAACAACAACTCAGCATCATCCCCTTCTCAACACAAGTGGACTCAGTGGGTGCGTTACTCCGTCGGCCTTTTTCTTCATCTACTCACTTTCTCCACTTTCGTCCTTCTCCTCCTCCTCCTCCCTCCCCCTCTAGTCGCCGTCGGAATAAGTAGTATTCTCCGAAACAATAATGCTTCCTCCCTCTCCGCTTGAATGGTGCATTGAGTGCAATGCATGCAATATGGTATACGCGTCTGTAGTGGTGGCAGAGAAAGTGACCGTAGTTAGCAACTTTTCAACTTTCTCTCTTTTTTATTACTTACAAAATGCGTGTTGATTGCCGACCCTAATTTGTCCAGTCCTTTCAGATGGGTCACCCCGGCATGGAGGGTTTAGACATGCTTGACCCCATCTCCTCCTCGACGATGATGACCTCTCTTGGGCCGATGAACTCCGACTCTGGCTCCGTCTCTCACCACGGTCACACCCAACTCCACCCGTCCTCCGTCTACTCGGCACACTCCATGAACTCCATGATGAGCCATCCCTCCCTCCCCCACCCACAACTCCACCCGCCCCACCCCGCCATCCACGACGCCGACACGGACCCCAGAGAGCTGGAAGCCTTCGCTGAGAGATTCAAGCAACGCCGCATCAAACTCGGTGTCACACAGGCAGACGTTGGCAAGGCGTTGGCGAACCTTAAACTCCCCGGAGTCGGGGCCCTCTCACAATCCACCATTTGTCGGTAAGGCCCTATTCTTGTTGTTGTTAAGCCTTTAATCACGTGTCAACAGAGATCAATTCATTACAAATTGGTTTACACACCATGACACAAATATTTGTGTCATGGTATTTACCATTATATATTTTTTAAAGCATCTAATCTATAAATTCATATAATAACATATAATTTCGATACGTTTTTTCGGATGGGCTTACTCACGTCAAAGTAGAAAATCTCTCGAAAATAGAAAAATAACCTGAGAATTTTTGGTGATTACAAAATTATAATTTTTATCGAGATTAAGATTCTCTGTGGGTTTACCTTTATTTGTTTACCTTTGTTTGCTAAATTTTTCGCGATATACACACCGTGAGAATGCCCATTGTGCAAGTTAGTTAGTACCAGCAACTGACTACCAGCAACCGTCCAATATCCAATATATACATATGCATATATGTCCAAATGCTAGGTTCGAGTCGCTCACCCTGTCCCACAATAATATGATCGCGCTCAAGCCCATCCTGCAAGCCTGGTTGGAAGAGGCGGAAGCCCAAGCTCGGTCCAAACGGCGTGACCCCGATGCCCCCAACGTCCTCCCAGGCGGAGAAAAGAAGAGGAAACGAACCTCGATTGCCGCCCCCGAGAAGCGCTCGCTCGAGGCATACTTTGCCGTGCAGCCGCGTCCCTCTGGCGAAAAAATTGCCGCCATCGCGGAGAAGTTGGACCTCAAGAAAAACGTGGTTCGTGTCTGGTTCTGTAAGAAAAACTTGAATTATTCTTTTCTACATCAACAGTTAAATGATACGCAAGATTGAACTTGGTGAAGATTGAGAAACAAATTCATTTATGTAGGAACAAAGGCCTTAAAGTTAGACTTCCCTTTGTTATCATAGAATGAAAATTATATCTGAATCCCCACAAAATATCCTGCTTTCTCTCCAAGATAGCCGCATCTCTTCTCCAGTTCTCAAGTTGCCTTACTTCAATCGCATCCGTTTATCATTGTCTTTGGTCTCTCTCTGACCGGCTGCGACGTACTGTGAATGAGAAACCAATTAATTGATACATATATCTCTCAGCACAGAGAAATAAATTAGCGGATAAGCATAAATCCCACTTCCATCCAGTTTTCTGACTTTATCCTTCACCTTTCCTGCCTTTGTGAATTTTGAGACGTTCGTGAATGCAATAGAAACTTGAGTTTAAGGAAAAATAGTTGAAGAACAGTGTCCAAGTAGGTGATGCAAAAGTTCTGATGGAGGAGAAATGTTGGTTATTTGACTCACCTCGAAAACAAGTAGACAACAAACGGACGCCAAATGAGCACAAGCATGCAATCAGCGTGCTGCCATTCAGCGTCCTATGTAAACATACAGCTTTCTCCAAATCCTTTAAAACGGTTCCCTTTGTCTTGCAGGTAATCAAAGGCAGAAGCAGAAACGTATGAAGTTCGCAGCTCAACACTGACCCAATAGTTGGTAGCGGAGGTAAAAAAACGACGACGCAGGGAGAAAAGAGTAAAAAAGAAGAAGAAGAAGGAGGAACCAGAGCTTGTCCCAAGACGACACTATCTTCTATACGTAAATAAGCGACGGGCAATAAAAAATAAAAACATATCACGTTACATACATAATTATTACTATACTCTAAAACTAATCACGTACATACATACAGCAGGTAATACAAAATAGATAGGTAGCTACTTAAAACTAATCCAAGTCAGTCAGTCGTGTCCCCCTGCCTGCTGTTCTGCACCAGAAAGAATACAAAGAAAAGAAAAACTGCACCACCCCCTTAATTAACTCGCCCCACCCCGCACACAGGGTACCCAAAACAAACAAGTAATAGCGACAAAATAATGGACTCTGACGACGAAACGGAAGAAGAAGAAACCGACTCTCTGCGACACAACACAACTACCGACCTTATCTCCGCGCTTATTAATACTCCCTCAATATACAACCAGAAGAACTTAACTTACAGCAATTATCATTCTCCTCCAATCTAATAAAAATGCATATCATAACCTGTGCTTGTAGCCATAATAAAGACATACAGACATCTCTCCATGCAAACTTCCGATCGAGGTGGCAATCGTAAATTGTACGTAGATCATAGTAACGACGAAGATGGTGAATAAAAAGTTGGTCAAGAGAAGAAGGTGACGGGACGGTGAAGATCAAGATTTTCGATATCCAGTTTGGATTGACATGTTATTGAGTAAGGATGATGAAGTGGAATGAAATGATGATGATGAGCATAGCAATAAGTTTTGTAGTGCACTGAAGATGATAATCTTGTACATTCTCTCAAGTCAATAAATATACTAATAAATAAATTACATACATAAACAAATTTGGAAAAATTGTGCGTATCTTTATACCTAAATCTGGTTGGTATAAATAGTGTTTTTCAAAACACGAGCATGTTCACTCACGTTCCTTCTGGAAAGGGGTTTCCTCTTTTAATATGCTCTTAATTCTGACTAATTCCATTTTAATCACTCGGAGAAAAAGGGTGATGGTGCTCTTTTTTGTTTTTACTTCTTTCTCCTCCTCCTTTTCTAATAAACTTATTCCTCCTTTTTCTTGGTCTTCCTGTTTCTGTCTCGATGATAAAGTTCGTTTCTCTCTTTTTCTCTACGCGTCGACGGGCTGAAAACCGGGGCTCTGGGGACTCTTTCGGATTAATGTGCCTCCTCAGTTCTGCCCGGATTAACAACTCATTAGCAGGAGAAAGAAAGACAAAGGGGAAATAAGTGAACAAGTGAGAGCTGAAATAAATGGGTGGTGTGGAGAGGGAAAGTGGATGGATGGATGGATGGATGAATAAGTCGACGACGACGACGTAGTATTTTACAGGAAGGAAAAACATGCATAAATAGGGCGAGAATATATAATTATGCATGCGGGATGATGGACACGGTTTTAATTTAGGGCTTCAAAATAGACGAGTACAAAAAATAATGGATTCAATTAAGCGATGGACATGTTTTCTTTCACACTTTTATTAAATCCACATGCACTCTTTCAGCTTTAACGTTATTAGAAAAAAACATGGTTTGTGAAATCATAAGTACGTATGCATGTTTTTCTTTGGTAGACAATGCCGACTGAGGATGAGTGAGTTGAATGTTCAGTTTTTCGACATTTTTATTTAGCATTTTTGTAAACAGCACACATCAAGTACAGAATAGTTGCAATAGCAAAACTAACTAGAATGACGACACTATAATAATATCGAAGAATGATAACCTATCGTATGCACTGCAAACAATTCATTCACAACGTCATAGTTATTTACGCTATCGCATTTTTACCGTAATAAAATGATAAAATATTGTGGCACAGTCTATAGCACACCATTCGCTTGATTGAACTAGTTCGTTATTTCACTATTTTAAAAATGTCAACAAGATGCACATAATATAGCATTCAAAGAATACACACAAATGTTTCGTAAAAGTAATTGTCAGTTTTCAGGTTTTGACTTCTTACAAAATAGAAACACTACTGTACAAACAATATTGTAGGAACTATACGGGTATTGAGAACATAATATATTTTGCAAGTAAATATGTAAGACTTAATAAAAGTTGGTCCATTTCATTTCACTAAAAAATTACATCATGTTAAAAACAAAGGCCAAACCGTAACGATTAAATAGTTTGGTACGACAAAACAATATACAAGTTAACAATAAGGCATCTGGTCATCTTCGTCTAGATTAGGCAGCACAATGCCAAGGAATATTTAACAGTGACAATAAAAAAGATGGGACGGAAAGTCGCTTGTTTGGAAACAGAGAGAGACAGATCAACTTCAGGAATCATACACATATAAAAGTTTTTAGTATTCTCTCAAATATATTTCCTACACTGAAATCGTTTGATTCACTTTAGTTAAGGCATATTGAAGCGTTCCATTGCAAGGCTTGATTTGAATTTAGTTAAATTGTCAGAATTCGTCGATACCTGGTAGACATATAAATATATGCGCACTCGTGGCTTAATAATTTATCAGATCAAAGCACAACGTTGGGGTACAGTCCTTCCGGATGTTCTCCAACTACTAAAGCTCCCAGCCAGCGGTGCAACTCTTCCTCGCTCCCGCAGCCAAACACCCAACCAAAGAAGGGTTCATCTTTACTCCTGAAAATTTATAAAATAACGATTTATAAATGTGTAATAAAAAAAACAATTTGTAAAATAATTTGACAGGTACCTTTTGAGATGATAAGTTTTAGGAGCAATGGTAAATGTCCACTTTGTCGGAGGATTACGACGGGTTTCGCAACCCACATACCACACAACATCCTCAATCTTGTATGAAGCTTGTTCCGTATTGCACTACAAACAAAGTAAATCACACGTTTATTTAAATATTTATATAGCTTACTAAATCTCATTTTGGCATCCGTTAAATAACTTAATTACCTTAACATCCTTAAACAGTTTAAGGGTAGCTTGACTAAATTGAAGCTGAACCTTTCGATATGACTTTGACTTTGAGTCGGCAACCTTTACTTCCGATCCGTGCATGTGGGGTTCCTTAGCCTACAACAGATATTCGTTCAGATTCAAACCTTGTTTCACTATGTGCAAATTAAGTAAGTTCTAGACTCACATATTGTAAAAGTCTCGGGTACAACTGATTCTTCTTCAGAATAAGGTAATTATCCTTCCGGTCCTCAATATCCCACAGGCTCCAGCGTAAAACTGTGTCTATAACTTTTTCACTAGGATGCAAAACCCGCTCCAAACTTCCGTTCGCGATGACCTCATGAAGACCGACATTCTCTATATTTCGCACCCTTGAATTCTCCAATATTTGAGCCACAATTCCCTGAGCCGTTGAATATGGTGTGAGTGCCACGTTGGTTGCAGATGTTTCATCCTTGTCCCAGAGATAAATCCACAGCTTCATGTCCCCAGAACACTTTCGACGTAAGGAACCCAGATGAAAGTTTTCTAGGGCGAGGTGCATCCTTCTCTCACGGGCGCGTTCTTCCTCGTCAACACGAAACAGAGTGCAATATCCTTCAATCAGTTCTTTCACTACTTCACATTCGGCACAGGCAGAGTCATACGAGAGTCCGGAAGCATCACCCTGTAAATAAAATGGGAGAATTGCCATTAAGATACTAGCTATATGTAGTTGCATGGTTGTCAGACTATGATCAAAACTTTTAGTTGTCCACTCACATCGACACTCATCAAAGTAGGACCCCAAATTGGTGCCAGGTTGATCAACGGCATCAGATTTTTCTCGTGCAGCTCATGCACAGCGTATAAATGACACATTAACTTTTTAAGGATGTTATAATTTAAAGGTGGCAGACTCTCCAGGAGGCGAGTGTACTCAGTTTCCTTCGCTGTACGGTCAGTTATCGCTGAAAGAGTGAAGCATGTTTTAAATAAATGCAAGCTGCATATAGAATCAAATATCGGCTCACCAGCTGCTTTAATCCATCCAGGATACAACTCTGACGTGACTAGAGGTTCGGGCAATGTTCTAAAAAATCTCTTCAACGTCCCTGCTACATCATGGGCGGAAAACTCCTTGGGGGATATTTGTACCGCCCACGCGTCCTTTTGAAAGTCAGCCAGCAACTGGGCAATTCTCGTGTTTGAGCCAGACTGCCGATAAATCCCTTCTGCCAGGGTGCCATGAGCGTACAGAAAGTCGATGCATTTGTCGACCACGACCGGCACATTTTCCAGGGTGAGCTGCATCTCATCGAAACGGGTCCCATTTCTGGAGGCAGCAGACCGAAGCGCTTTCTCCCAGTCTCGCGTTATACGACTGCTCTCCGTTTGCAAGTACAATATCCGACAACACAGGTCGAGAGTGAGGACGTCACCGTTATCGACGAAACCACAACGTTGCTCTTCCTCTTTTCCGCATAGGTCTTCAATTAACAAATAGCACAAGTTATAAACGAGTTGATACATTACAGAGCAATAAGCAGATAAGCTCACCGATAGATCTCGCCTTCCTCAAATCCATATCGAAATACTCTTCCCCATCCTGATAAACAAAGACGAGGTTTCTGTCCTTGAGCAGAATCCAGCCAGGTTTCCAATCGCTGGTAACAGTCTCCTTCAAGAAGACCCATCCACCCCGTTCGAAGGAGCCCCTGAGGACTGGAGGAATAACAGCAGTGTGCGCCTCCACATACTTCCCCATCCATTTTGCCCTCTCCAACTCATCTGCCGCGGCCAGAACTAAACTGTTCTGTTTCCAATGAACGAGTCCAAGCTCAAAATACTGGAGGTTTGGTGGTGAGGAAGAAGAGCTTCCCTCCTTTTTAGTTATGACGGCCACTTTCTCCAGTGGGAGATCAGAGACAAGTTCGGATTTGTCATTGTAAAAAGAAAGTCGTCCTTTACCCAAGGTGCTACGAGGTTGGAGCACGACTCGTCTCGGAGTCCACTCCTTCCTCCCCAAATTCCCCCCGGCTTTGTACAAGTTTGTGGAAAATATGACAGAATCCCGGTAAGGGGGGTAGAATCGGCAGCGTTCCTTTTCTCCGTGTTCGTTCCCACATTTTCGACAGGCAGTGCTCTCTTCACGGATTGAGTTGAGGCGGAATTTGGAGGAAAATCGACGGAAAAATGAAGGGACAGAGGCATCACCCCCACCGTTGGAGGAGGAAGCAGAGGGTGGTGATGGTGGCGATTGTACTAATTCTTTCGAGACGGGAGACCTTTGACCTGGTTTTGGTGGGGTTGGAGGCGGTTCGATGGACTCGTATTCCTCTTCCATACTTGCTGATCCGTTTTCCGTTCCCTCCTGATCCTCCACTTCTTTTTGTGGTGGTTGATTGGGCTGCTTTCGAAAATTAGCTTTGAAATCCACTGCGAAGGAATAAGTTGGATTTTCAACCACCGCTGATGGTGGGTTGCTTGGAGGAGAATCTTCATTGTTTGAGTTGGAACAGCTGCTACGTCCATCCTCCGCGTCAGTGTCAATGTATTCATATCTAATCAGAAAGATATTTGTTTAGGGAAAGGAATCTAGAATAGCACTTTGCTTAAACTAACCTATGTTGTGGATCATCATTAAGGTCGAGATATTTTTCCGATGTTATATCATCGTCCTCGTCATTATCATTAATTTCCTTTGTTGTCACCTTCGGTGTAGGTGTAGTCCCATTGATAAGGTTTGTTCTTTTAGTACTAGGCGGAGGCAGTGGTGGCTTGGGCACTTCCGCAAACGAGTAGAGAAGTGGGTCAAACTCTGCAATTACCGAATTCCTGGAAGCCAAACTATTTGAAGAGTTGTTGTTTGTCTCGTCTCTACGGAACCAAAACAACCATAAAATCTAATGTGTTTACAAATTTTCACAAAACAAAATTAATAATATCACGCACGAGAGTGCTGCTGCATTCTCCATGTTGTCCAAAAATACGACGGTCCCATCCTCAATGGCTACATCGTCGTACTCATGCACCCTCCTCAGACTTCCCGTACTGCTCCTCTGAGATGAACTGCGCTTCACGATGTCATTTTTTGACCTGGAAAATTGGAAAGAATCCGTGGACTCGGTGTCACTCACACCTCCATCGGATTGACGATGACTTGAACTACTCCGACTACTGCTCAAATCATTGCTGCCCTCAAATTTGAGTCTGCTCTCAGTGAAACGACTCAGCCCCTTTTTACCTGTGATAAACATTTTGTTTAAAAGCATTAAAAGTTTTTCCGCATCTACTTCTTCTTCAAATTGCTACCTTTCATGCTTCCCTCGTTGTGATTAATGTTAAAATTGACGTTCACATTAGGCACCGTGACCCTTTTATTATCATGGAAATTGTTATTCGATGGAAATCCTGGGGAGGAAGGAAGCCTTTCAAAGTTCTGCGTTGATGATGGTGCCGCAATAGGTTCATATTCTTCGTCCTCGTCCGCCAGTGGGGCGGGGGGACAGCTAGCAACTTTTTCGATGGGGTGGTGATGATGCTGGAATCTTACGGTTGGGATCCTTTCCTGTTCATCCTCTTCTTCATTGCCATCGTGGAGTGGAGGAAGCTTGGAGCTACGGCCAGATCTAGAAAGTGAATTATCATTAGTCATTATTATCTAGTAGATGGTTCAAGTACTGAACATCAGTAGATATCTATGTACATATCTCACCCTGTTCGGCTTCCTCTATAAACTCCCGAGAACACATTTTTGCTAAGATTTGCAGCTAATTCGGCCGAGACGGGTCTTGCAGGAGGGGGTTCCATGTAATGATCCGACGAATCATCCGTCGATGTGGATGATAGTGATGAAAACGTGGAAATCCGTCGCCTCGTCTCTTCATCCAGATCGAATAGGGGCGAGGGGAATGAAATATTGGAGAGAAGAAGTGGTGACGATGATGCCTCCGGGGTCTTGGAAGGCGGTGGGTGTGGTGACGATGCAGGACGTGGGGAACGTGGGGAGCGTGGGGGTGGTGTGATGTGCAATGGTGTGGGACGACGATGATGATGATCTATATTCTCCTCCTTCTTAAATTCTACATCAAAATCGTTGAAAGGGTCGTCGAGCTGATTGGCAAGTTGAAAAATATTAATGGTGCCTCGTTTCGCAGACGGGGGGAGGAGTGAAGGAGCATCTGGTATGGACGATAGGCTAAAGTTATCGTCATCATCGCCCGTACTGCCCATATTTTCTGCAAAAAACTTTAACAATTAACACACAGCATCTAATTGTCTCAAATCCTTTAGATTTCTCACCCCTTTTCTCTCCCAGTGACGTCGTTGTCGTTGCCGTCAATTTTCTCGGGAGTGGGACAGGCTTCTGCGTCACGGGGGGTGACTGTTGTGACGATGTTGATAACCTCTGCCTCGGAACGGGAACAGGTTTGGCGTCCACGTTTATATCCATTCTGCTATTATATTTTCGCCACGATGTCAACGTCACCTTAATCAAAGGTTCAACGATACCGATGTCATTCTACCCTCAAAAAGACGCGTTTCTATCTTTGTCATCATCACATCTGCAATTAATTATTGTAACCCAATTAAATGACAACAGATAACAAAACAACACACATTAAATATTTAACAACAAAGTTCAAACTCACCATTAAAACTTGTGCAAATATTTCTATTTCGCAGTGTTATCTGAATACGATCAATAATCCCATAATCGTCACATTATATTATCAAGTGACAACTTGTTGAATGCCGTGATGACTAATAAATCTGGCAGCACATATACATACAACCAGTGAGTAATTGCTTCTCAATCTCGGCCAGTCTCTCTCTCTTTCAGAAGAAAGGGTGACTGATAAGCGAGAAAAATAACAAAAAATGTGCACTCTCGTCACATTCAGTCCGTATTTCCCATGAGAGGAATGAGTCAAAGAAATAGTAACAAAATCTCTAATCAAGTGTCTCCGAGTCGTGTAAGTATCGTGGCTGGACTGGCTGAGAGAGCAGTAGCAGCCAGCAAATTTATTATTGTGGTTGATTCTTGTGGGATCATCCATCCACGCGTGACCACCAATGACTCGTTTTCACCCAGAGTTTGGCCAGATACAGGGAGGACTTTCACCACTTATTAATTGGGCCTTATCTTATCTCCCTTATCAACGTCCACCTGGGAGAAGATGAGTTTCGGGTGGACGGGCTTGCTATTTTAGGCACCTACCTACCAAGTAATAATTTTGGTAAACCAAACCAATGAGTCATTCATGAGAGTGGGTTAAATAATAATAAATAATAATATGTTGGGAGTTGAAGCAAGTTAGTTTAGCTAATAAAGCTGCTGCTGCCTGGCCAAGAATAAATATTCCATCCATATGCATGCCATCGTTATTATGCATAATCGTAGACAATGCACAATTCGTTGAGCTTATGGTGTCGTATTATTACTTACTATGTGTATGTGTATGCATTTGGTTTGGCTAACTGTTAACAGCACAACACAGCCATTAACTTTAACTACATATATATGACAAGGAAAGAAAGGAGTAGAACCATCTTGTGGAACTGGATGCCTTGTTATTTTTCATGAAAAAAATAAAGCGAAACAAAGAAATTCGGGATTTACTTATGTGGATTTTGTACAGCTTGTTTTATTTTTCAGATTAAATATTATAGAGTCTCCGAGTTGTGGGAATTTAAATACTTTTTGATGGAATTGCTATTTTCTGTCGTCACCTTCTTCCACACCCAACCGCTTTTCCTGGATGGTCGCAAGTTCCATCCTTAATGATGAAATGTAAGCCATCCGGACATTCTCGATGAACGTAGAAGTGACCGTTGCAGGCAAAGTAGGCCGTGCAGTCGTCCACGTCCGGCAGAAACCAGGGTTGCGACTCGTCCGGACCACACTCTCGTCTCGATGGGAGTGGAGGCGACTCCGTACTTCGGAAAGGGATCAAGTACTTGGCCAGCGAAACTGTGCTCAAAAAAAGATAAATTTATGAATTAGTAGGAATTCAGCTTCTCAAGAAATGAGTTTTAAATCTAACCTTGGAGGAGGACGAGTACGAGGATTGAGACGAAAATCACTTTTGAGAAATCCATAGCAGTAATCTCTGTAGGTTTACCAAGAGGAGGAAACTATTTGATAATGTGATGCCTCAACCTGCGCTGTGTCCTGATTGGCAGTCGCACATTTCGATGCATTCACTTTTTAAGGTGTAGAACTTTTCATTTCACGATATTTTTACATGGGACGGATTAACGGATTTCTATTATGAAAAGAAGACGAAAAGGTGAGATACATAGTTGAGAATGTTGAGCATTTATCTGACAGGTACTTGATTTATTCCCTCGAGTCCATATGTATTAATGTAAAAATACTAAAATACTCTCTAAGCACCCTTCCCTCTCTCTTCAGTAGTTGTATAAGCGTTCTCGCACACTGGGCAGTTTAAGGGCGTCCTCGAACGGCATATCATAATGGGCTATGCTGGCCTTAACGTGTTGGGATGGAATCATGGGAAAATATTCCTTCAAAATCGGTTCCATGTCTGCGTAGGATGCAAACTTCTCAACGCTTCTGGTCTCCTACGCATAAACAACATGAATGTAAAGTTATGTAGATACTTTTTGTTATAAAAAAAACTTTGCATATCGTCACCATATAGATACCTTCGTGATACGAATAAGCTCCTTCCCCCTGATACACACGGCTTTGTAGTCATCATCGTCCTCGTTGATTGACAAGTAGCGGAAAGCATAGATTCCCTGGTGGAGAAAGACTGAGTGGGGGTTCGTATACACGGCTGCGATGGGCTCTTTCGAATCCTTAAATGACTTGGGGGTTGACATCGTGACGATATAGTTTTGCGGAGAGATGAAGTCCTCACTCTTTTGTCCGATTAGCGCATCTCCGCCAAGGTTGAGACGTTGTAAGATTTTGACGGACTTATCTGGTTGATTTTTCCACTCGTATCGGAAATTAAATCCGCCCCCACGACGGGTGAAGGGCAATTCATCGAGGGGGACAGGTTCATGGAGAGGTATTCCAATCCCAGCGTCAATTAAGTATGTTCGATCTCCTTTTGGACGATCGGCATAAGTCTTCCCTTTGGCGACGCGTTCCGGTATGGTGACTAAAACAAGACAAGTTTGAAGACTCTTTAACAATAAATATCTAGAATTTCTTGGAATTTTTTGCTTTTAAGTCCTCAAGTTGGCATAAAACACTTTTATGCACTTTTATGCATACCTGTAAATGTACAGTGCGAATGTGGAATTCCAGTCCGAACAAATTCTCCTTGATAGAACCGAGTCTTGTACCCGAGGGCTTCCAGTTGGTACATGAGAAAAGCATTATTGTGTCCACAAAGACCTCCAACGCCGGTTATAATAGTTTCGAACATTGCTCGCCGTCCGGGTGGAAACCGGTCGACAGGTCGCCATTGACCAAAAGATGATAGATTCTAATCGTAAGTTTAACAATACATAGGAGTAAAAACTCGGTTTGGATGGAGTCTTATAAATTTGTGTTACTTGACTACCTGAAACGGATACCGGACCACAAACAATTTCACGATATGTTTCAACAGGCCCAACTGGTCTTGAAGGAAACGCTGCTTAACATCCCCTATGCCGAGTATTCCTTTGAGGAACATGTCAAATATTAAAAAATGGTCTCCGGTGCAAAGGTAGAACTGGTAGAAGAATAAAATAACTCAAACCAGAATGTCAACAGCTTAATTCACAACTGGACATTCTGAATGAGAATTTCTCATGAGCATGCATTCATAAAACCGAGCACCAGCTGTAAACCACTCACTATTATATAATCACAGATCGTATTCGTGTGTATATTAACCCTTTTTCTCTAAAGTGGACTTCTCCATGATTGCATGTGCAACAGAATGCTACAAATTCAACCGCATACTGATGATCTTCCAGCACTGGGTACAAAGTCCAACTTTCCCTTCTTTAAAGTGCATGTTTGTCAACATTTCGTGGAAGGGGAGATGCATTTTCCTATCAATGACATCCTTATTTTGTATTCTGTTGTCAACCGAAATCATGCCAGCAACAAAGGATTTTCTACCCGGGTTTATTCCTTTATCGGGGATTTCTCGCCGTGGGGAGCCATTCATTCCAGAGCGTCTCTATTAACGAAATGCATGTAAAGATCCCAAGTTTATTTACAGGGAGAGAAATTCAAGATCCACTTCATCTCTGCTCTTACAATTCTCTTTTCTACCCTCTCTTAAAACCCATAGCCTAGGCTTTTTACATGCTTTTATGCAATATGGACAAATGTGTATCCATCTACACGCTTGATACAAGGTGAATCTGTTCTTCTAGCAACTCCTTCCTTCTCTCACCCTCAAAACAAACAACTCCCACCGACAGAATAACATACAGCAGAGTCAGTCAGACTTCCAAGGATGCAAAAAACCGAGCACACAGTAAAGATCAGTTTTTAAATTAAGTATCCGTTTTTCAGAAGAGTTTAAAAAAAACTTTGGGAACAATGGGTCACGGGAGGGTGGGGAGTGAGACGGCCAAGTATAAAAGTTCGGAGGGGGCCTGTGGTCTAGGTCTGGTGCGATCATATCTCTACGTCTTCAATGTCTTCCTACTCATTGCGTCCCTCATTTTGGGAGGACTTGGGATTTGGTCTGTTCTGGCAGAGGTACGTGTTTTGTCACAGATAACACCTTGACATCGTATCTGGCATTACTTTAAATGTGAAACCTTAATTGTTTAGATATGGTTCATTCCACTCCTGTCCGACTTATCCTACCCGCTCCCTTCCTACCTCCTTCTCGGGGCTGGAGCAGTGGGACTTATCGCAGCCACGGTGGGATGCTGCGGAATTGCAAAGTCGGACAAATGTTTCCTCCTCATCTACATCCTCCTTCTTCTCATCGTCTTCCTCCTCCAAGTAATGGCTGGAGGGTTGGCTTATTTTTACCGGGAATCGGCCTTCACGGATCTCCAAGCTCGACTAAACGTGACCTTCACGTCGACCTATGGGGCACCCGGGGAGAGTGAAACAACCATTGCTGTGGATGAGCTGCAACGACGTTTCCAGTGCTGTGGGTCTGGATCATTTGCGGATTGGCAGGTTTCGGCTTGGTCGACGAGTGGGGTGGGGAGCAATAAGGTAGGCATTTAATGAACATTTTAATCATATCCTAGATAATCCTAGACTTTGTGTTCGCTTTCAGGTTCCGGACTCTTGTTGCAAAACAGAGACGCCGGGTTGTGGGGTTCGTGACCATCCTTCCAACGTGTACTACACGGGATGTATTCATCGCTTATCTGAGACGGTGAAGATACATCTTGGCTATTTGACCATTGCTGGCTTGGGTTTGTGCCTTTTGCAACTTTTCGGCGTGGTTTTTGCTACGTGTCTCTACGTCAAGTTGAAGGAACCGGATGCCGTGCATCTCTAAAGAAGAGGAGATGATACGAGTGACTGAACGTGCCAAAAATGTGTTCCCGAATTAAAGGATGAATTTTGATGATCTGAAATGAAATTATACAAAACCATGAAGAGACTCTCTCCCTAACATACCATGGATGTCATCCCATTGCTTTATTGTATTTGATTATTACCATTTTTAATATTCACACCTAAGATGCAGCAACATTTTAAATAGCCATGTAGTCATTTTTTATCCAAGCTTTTAATTTATGAGCATTTTAGTATGTTTTAGGCTTACTATTAACTGATCCACTGTGTACTTACTAATGTCCTGTTACGTGACGCAAGTAAATAAAAAGATTTTTTATCTACTCACAAAAAACACAAAATGTTCAATCATTACATCCCATCAAGTTTATTTTGCATGTAAATTTTTCAATTGAAAGGACCAACATTATTGATCCTAATTTCGAAATCATCCTTCAAATTTCCATTTTCGAGAGGGAAATAAACATCTAAAAACCAGTCCTTTTCCTCATCTTCACGAGTGATCAAGAGTGGTTATTTATTGTGTGTGAGTAGTAGCAGGAGGCAGACTGGCAATTTCAGGAGGAGGAGGAGGGGCACTTTGAGACTCGTACAACACAGGTTCATTTTCCCCGAGACGCGGGCAGTTTCAAGCACTCCTTGGTTTCTTGGGAGTGACGAGGTCTCGCTCAGTGTGAAAGCGATCGTGGGAGTGTCTGCCCCCACCGCGGATGCGCCCACACCCACACCAACCATGCTGCCCTCCTCCAATGAGGTAAGCTCACTAATCTTGGCATCTAACCTGTAAAGGTACTCGAGGGTAAAGTGTCATTGAATTCTTAGACGATCAAGGAGCAGTTAGACGCAATGCCTATGGAGGATTTTGAAGATTTATTAAAACAAGCTTATCAGAATCAAGAGCCCGTATCAGAACATGCCGAAATCTTAAAGGTAATTACTCACCTTATATATAACTAAATCCTTCCGTACTAATAATTATCATAGATCCGTGATTCAACACACTTAACTTATTTATATATAGCAACTTAAAGGGACTCTAGACGCACATGGGGACAGTTCAACCCTGTCCAACGCCAAATATCATTCGTCTCTTCAGTCTCTGAATAATAATGAAGCCTCGACTCACCCACATCCCACGCCGGCACATCTCCATAAGAATAATAATCATCACCATGTCCCAACGAAACAGCAGGAGACTAAGAGTAAATAGCCAAAATTTAAATTATTACATAATTTTGGTCATATTTTAGTTAAAATTAAAACATTGTAAACCAAGTCATATTTTACGACATGAATGTACAAGTGATACGTTTCTAATAATGACTGTTTTCTTCAGCCCTTCACCACTATAGTTATGGGTACAACCACCATTATGGTCACCTCAATCACACCAGTACCTTAACAACTATTAACTCCACGTCGAGTCTCAATTCCCTTGGGGTGGACGGTGAAGGCGGCGGCGGTGGCGGCTCGTCATCATCTTTGTCCCTCCAGCAGCAGAAGCAACAACACCTCGCGTACTTTTTCAATGATCGGGACGACGGTGAGTGAACGGAGAGCGTTTTCTTTCTCTTTCGTAAGAACGCTTGCCTGCCCCTCTCGCATGACTCGTCTTGCCTGCCCCTCTCGCATGACTCGTCTTGCCTGCATTTTCTCCACTACTCCCATATTCACACCGACTATTTTATAAAGAACTTTAAATTTCCGAGTCATTAGGCTTAGGCATTACGAAGGTTTTTAACTACATTGGTCTATGTAGTATAGGTATTGTTGCCATAAGGTCAAGTTTGTCATATTTTTAATAATAATAGTGATAACGGCTTATCACCCATTTGCTGCATTATGGGCTGAGTTAGTGTTTATCCATATTTACGTAGAAAACAGAACAGTTTTCTTACTTCTTTCACCCGGATATTTACAAACACTTGACTTTTCCCATTGTTTCGTGTATCCGAATTTCAATAATGTAATGTTTTGAATTTCTTTCTTCCACGTTGTTTTGTTTATAATTATGAAACCGTTGAACTGTTACAGTCATCACTAATTCATACTAACTCACCAACGAACGCTTAAGGAGGCGGAGCATGATCCCTTATGGAGCTGGATTCACTCTTCTTGACCCAACAACCGTTTCTTATCTCATTGTCTGGCTAATCTCATTAGCTTATTATTCATTAGATAAATAAAGTCATATAGTCAGTTAGTTATAGTTAGGACATCTTATGTAAGTAAGTATAGAAGTGAATATGGTGCTGCTCGGACAACTTCTGTATATAAGTCGCAGTGGGTACTTTTTTCTTTATAATCGCGTCACAGCTTTTTTTACTTGGCTTGATTTGACTCTTTCCGCAGTCATTAGTTAGGGGGAGTTTCGTCAGATTTGCCATTATTTTTCCCTATTCAATTTCCTTCTTCTCACTCAACATTTTTTTATTCCTTCAGTGCAATCTCATAAAAGTAGAATGGGCAATTAATTCAGAGAGAAAGAAAGCCGTTAATCCATCCCTCTACATATGTAGTGGATGATTATTAGGTTGAATAAAAACAGTTTAGATTGAAAACTGTGTGAAAATGCTAGTTGTTGGCATGTCCGGCACGGCCATGCGCTTGCCCCCGCTCCAGATATTTTTCTTCGATGAAGCTAATTGTACATTGACATCCTCAGATCGCGCTCCTGCCACAGGATCCCAGCGAAGTTATAATAGGTCATCTGGTAGCGGACAAATCGCTCCAAAACCATCTATCGATGGGTAAGCCATACTCTTTGTTTTTTAACCTTATATACGTTTGAAAGACAAATTCAAAGTTAGAGTCTGCGTGTTTAGTACCGAGATGACGTCCACCTGGGAGAATGCTGCGTCCGCCCTCTGCTCAGACCAACCCTTTGAACTTTCAGGGCCCACATACTATCCAGGAGCCCCAGGGACGACGAGCCTTTCACCGGATGCGGGGCGAAGCCTCACTCCAAGTTTGCCTTTGCCGGGATCTATCAAGGACGCTAATAAAGAGGGAACAAATGATCGTAGACGATTAAACGATCGTCTTGCAAAGAAGAAAAGTAGTAAAAACAACGTGGTGAGTATAAAGTTTATTTGCATTCACTGTTATACACCTTTGTGACTTTTACCAATCTTGATTTGATTTGTCATCATGAGCAGAAGGAGCGAAATATTGAGGTAATAGCAATTCCCGGTTACAGAGGGAATGAAAAGGATGTGGATGACTTAGTCCATTTTGTCCTTGGTGACGATGCACCGAGCAATGTAAGTATTTATGAATGGTTACTGTTTTCCCAGTACAAATAAAGACATTTTTGTTTAGTACTATTGTCGAGTTTAGTTACATATTATGTAACTTTATAACTCGGAAATGTTAATAATTTGGATCGTTTTGTGTAGAAGAAAAAGAATAAGAAGGATCAGAGTGGGGCAAAGACGAAGGACACTCTGGTAAAATCTGCATCACTTGATGAAAATCATTTGAACGCTCGCAAACGAAGTTCTAGTTCTTCCACCGAGCGACCTAGTTCCAAGTCCTTAAAGGAAATTGAAAAGAAAAGCGAGCGTGCCGTGTCATCGCACCAGATATCATCAAGTCCACCCCCAGGCCAGTCACCAGTATCTTTACCTCCCAATTGTGCTACTTCAGCCCCCAGCAAAAAAATTACGGTTAATCAGAAGGTGAGCAGTTTTGTAATTGTTTTTATTTTATTACTGGATTCCATAATATAATTGTATCTATGCGTTTGATTGCAGTCATCTAATAAAAATAGCAAAGAAGAAAACGTTATTAGTGTACCCACTGTACCCAAGAAGGAGGCCCCCCAATCCAAACGCACCGTAAAGGAGGATGACTCTACAGAACATCCTTTTGAACTTGTCACGAAAAAGAAAAAGACTAAGAAAACTATGACGCAACGTGAGGCTGGTGAGGACAATGCATATTTATCTGTTGAGATATGTATAATGTACTGCTATTAGTTTTTAAAATTTTGCAACCATTTCATTGGATTTGTGCAGAGTCGTTTTCCAGACGCCAAGCTAAAGAAGCATCGCGTCGCGAGCAAGCCCGCGCCCGTCGTGTTGGTGGTGGGGAAAGGAGAACATCCGTGTGTTCGGCACCAGAGAGCGAAAATTCTGATCAGTCGGACGACGATTCTGTCAGATCACTTCCGGCAGGGGAATGTACACCCAGGGAACATATCCCCAAGCAATGCGCTTCCTCTGGTGGGACTCCTCAGACATCATACGCAGATATTGCGAAAGCTCCAGAGCCTGCCAATTCAAACCAGTTTTCCCCTTCACCCACAACCGGCGCAAGTGATCACCCAATAAACTTCCCCTCAAGAAAGACTGTTCCGTTTTCCCCACCCTCGAATAAAGGCGGTGGTGAGGGTAGGTTTATTCAATCATATTATCGCTTTGCTATAACTGTTGTGTCAATTTCTGTTTGGAATACTTCCAGCTCTCTCAAGCACGAAAGATGTACCAACTCCTGATTCAAAAGACTGTCCAATTGAGCGCGAACCCTTCAAATCTAGCGGAATGGGTAGTACGGTTCCCAATTCTACCAAAACTTTTAAACCCAATTCTGCTATTCAGCAACCTGTGCCAGGGTCCAAGCTACCCCCACTCGCTCCCAAGATTGTGAATATAAACAACGTGGGTCAAGCTCCATCTACTAACCAGACCCAACGATCAAACGTTCCGCCTGTAAGAAATAACAGGAATCAGTACCAGAACAATAAGAATCAACTAATACTCCAAACCATGGTGAGTCAGTCGGTAGTAGTTTCCTAATAAATGTAGTAGGTTAATTAAATGTTACAATAATTTTGGACGCTAACATTATTTGTTTGCAGCCTCAACCCGAGAGGCCATATCTGTCCACCGTGATTAAGACACACACCAGCAGCAGTCAACAGGACCCCTCCTGCCAACCTCACCCAGCCAAAGGGAAAGAAGAAGTTAAGGTGCTAATAGAAGACACGAATGAGTTTCCAGACATTTGCTCTTCTATGTCGTCTTTATCAATGAAGCCCCCTTTTTCCAAGAAAACCGCACATAATCACAATGGTCCGAGTAGTGGCAATCCTACTTTCGTGACCAACATGAATAACAATAACAACAACAATATTAACGACAATGGTTCTATGAACAAGGTACACATCATTTGTCTTTTTTAATATTTAAGTATATTCTATCATATCTAATTTTTCAATAACTGTTGAACTCTCTTCTATCTGTTCTTTTTTCTTCGTTTCTATTAGGTTCAAGTCGCCGCCAAGACGCCCACCCACGCAATTGAGACCAAGAATGACCCTCACCAGACTCCGACTAATACTGCGACTTCGCCCCGGATGAGCGAAAAACCAATGAGTACACCACCACGACATATCGGGGAAACGGTATTATCCTTGATTACGACTGAAAAGAGTCCAATTGTAGAAGAAATTGTTCGCGTGGTGCAGCCGGTGTTTGTCCCAGAGGTGCCAAACCAGCAGACTACGACTGCTGGTCCCATTACTAGTCCTTCAGCATCTGAAGAAGCTGAAGTAGTTATTGCCCCGTCTGGAGGTATGTAATTAATCATGTTGATCCAGTTAGTGTTTATAAATTGCATTTGTTAGCATTTCAAATATATGACATATTTCGCTTCGTGTAATTTTTCATAGAGCTGACACTTGTCAACGGTGACCACGAACAGGATATCGACCCTGAAGAGTTGATGGAAGGGAGGAGTAGAAACTCTGCCAGTGTTTCGTCCTCTGTGGGTGGTGGGGAGGCGGTTGTATTTTGCCGAGGAAACATTGAGAGTGAGATTCCCAATCAGGATGTTGGATTCGAATTTGGTTTCAACGTTATGGAGCACACGACATACCTCGTAAGTCGGCTTTTGCTTTATTTTGAAACGACGAGTGCCAAATAAAACTAATTGCAAGTAGAGTGAGATATAACTGACGAATGTATACTTATCTTATAGCCTTGGCCCCCACAGCCCATGGTAATGGCAGAAGGTGAAGGTGAAGACATTGCGTGTGAAGGAAGCACACCGCCATTTTCACCAGAAGAATCCTATCAAACTTCTACAGGCAATCCTGAACAACAACATTGTCCTCCATCGACTGATGATGAATATATTGAAGGTAGTTCAGCCCCCACAACTTCAACCCGATGGTCAGAAGAGCAACAGCAACAGCAACACTCTTATGACCCAAAGTCACATCCTGGTAGTCGTTATCCTCATTCCAATTCCAGAGGAGGAGGTGGTGGTCCACCTCCCAGTCTTTTGGGATCTTATCGAGGCCCATCAGCGGACAGTGGAAATCCACGGCCTCGAGGATCATACGCCGCTCGAAGAGGAGGTGGATTTGGTACTCGGGGAAGTCGCGGAAATCCTGGCGGCGGGGGCGATCGTAACTCACAACAACAGGCTGGAGTAGCACAAATTCAGGTTCAGCAGCAGCAACAACAACCACCTCCCCAATTCACAATGCCTATTCCGCTCCCCCCTCTTTCGGCTCCGCAGCAGCTTGCTCACTTTGGGGCGAATCCACAACAGATCCCACCCCATATGTTGTCTCACTATGGGTTGATGGCCGCAGCAGCAGCGCATCACCAAAGTCAAGCCCAGCAAGTTTATCCAATCCAATCCCAACAAAGGGTGCCACTGTCTCATCCCCAACACTATCTACCTCAGCCTCCCATGGTTGGGATGAATATTTACGCTTATCAGCCCCCTCCTCCACCACACACAATACCAGTCACGTCATCCCCCGCTATGTTGGAAGATCCAAACAGCATACACCAAATGCAACAGCAACAGCAGCAACATCAAATGACGATACCAATTACAACAGGTATCATGAAATATGAATTACATGAGTAATTTTTCTCAAAGTATCATGGTAATTCGATAACTAGTTTGCATTAACAACCGTTCACCCTACTGCAGGTGCTACCTCCAATATGACCATGGTCACTCAGCCCTCCTATGTGCCCATTATGATGTCACATCCCCATGAGTACATCAGTATGCAACCACTTCCACAACCACAACCACAACTACCGCCGCCGCCGCCGCCGGCCCAATCTCTTCCTCCTGTGCCTCCAACAGTAACACAGCCCTACATCGGCCAGGTCCATTACACCGAGGCAGGTGCAATGGTGATGCCGGCGGGTGTTGTTAATCCATCATTTTTATTCTATACACCCCCAAACTATACCGTCCCTGACGTATCCGGTGAAGTAGAACCCTGGCTGGATGGATGTAATACAATTTATTACTATTATCATTAATTTATAGGCTATGCATGATATAAATATATATCCATATCCATAAGTAGATATTTCTTCGCAATACTTACCCTCTTTGTATTTTATGTTGGTTTACAGATTTTGATGAAAAGTTGCGAATGGGAGCTGCCGGACTGCTGACGCTACATAGGATTGAATAGGCCATCAAAATAATTGCGTCTCATCGTCCATTTTTTGGATACCGTACATTTATATATCGTAAACTAATTTGTCTAAGATTTCTATTGTTTCGGCATTTTTGTCCAAGGTTAACCTTGGTACACGGCACAGTTATTTTTTGCATTTGTTTTTGTAATACTACACTGCACTTTACAACTCATTATTACAATTCATTTATTACTGTTACTACTATTACACTATAACCGCGACGCGTCTCATGTGTTTGTGTAGCACTCTCTTTTCGTTAATTCTTAGTTTAGTGCTAGAAATTTGTCTAAAAGAAAATCAAAATTGCACTATGATTAGTATGATTTAATCCCTGTAATCTGTTGCAAATATAACTTATTTACATCAACGAAGACAACAAGTAGTGCATCAATTACATAATTTGGCTCGGATCGAACCAGGTTCAACGTTTAGTTACCTATATCTACTATGTAATAGCACCACCACTATAATAATTAATAGAAAACGGTAGTAAGTCGTATAGCAGTTATATAGCTAGTGTTAACCCATTAGCTTTATAAAGATACCACATTAATCCTAAGTTTAATTAAATATAGTAGGTGTGTGTGCGTGTATATGTCCGTATATGTTACGTGCATTCGGACCAATGATAATTCATGACTTGAACTTCCTAGTAATTTAACCCGAAATATTAGGCTACAAATTGAAGAATATTTAGTTATTCGTCGCAATTGTTTATTCTTTGGTTATGTAAATATCATCTGTTGCTTCGTAGGATTAGCTTTGGCTTTGCTTGTACCAGAAAACATCCTTTGTTCCTTCGGATGTTTGAGGTCGTGTCACATTTTCATCTTACAATCTTTGTTCGAAATTCATGAACTACACATTAGTGCATTATAATTTCAACATAGGTTTCTTTAACTCTGGTCGCTGAGTCGTTCATACGACATATACGGTTCATATCGCAAGTGAGAAAGATTGTTTGATTTCTGACATGTCACTTTTACAATTTTTTTAAATAATTTTTTTAACTTGTATGCGATGATGCATTTCATGTTATGTATGTATACTTGTTATGCTACTGAGCGGAACATAATGAATTAATGAACACTATGCGATGATTGATTATAGTCAGTTAGCAGAAAACAACACACACCTTACCTGCCTCTAATACATATAACCCAACACATTAAAGAACAATTTACGCCGCATTATTATATGATTATAAACATGTAATTATTCTTGAGACGACGTGATTAATTAATAGTTCGTATGTAATGACTAATTATTCGTATGAGACAGAAATGCAAATGAAATCGCGTCTTTATTTTTGTGAGTAGGATACTTACTACACATTAGAAAGAGCAGATTGAGTTATAAATGACTAAAAGTGTATCGGGCCTCCCGCTCCCCTCTTCCACGTTATCGGGCTTCACAGAACAATCAGCACACTCGTAGTCGCGTACCCGATGTGGAGGAGGGAAGGGGTGTGGTCGAGGAAATAACGAGTATCTAAGTTTAGCATTTATTTGTGTAATACATTAGCAGTACATGAATTAAGTATGTAGTTGTACGTCAACTTGGCTGATGTAGCAGCTTCACTGCAATCCATTTACAATTAATCAAGTACTAATTATGTAATCTTGTACTAAATTTTATACTAAATTGTTTCTACAAAAGAGTCGTTGAAACTTATTAGTTTTTAAACAATGGGGTTTCATAAGGTTTAAGAACGATACAATATGCTGATGATGAACAACAAGGCTAACTCGTATTCAAATCTGTCTAAATTGGGCTAGGTGGGTGGGACAGATGAGTTGTTCTTCTGTGCATAATAATTTCTTGGTCCCCTATCCATCCCTACTTTTGTACAGATGCATTTTTGTGACCCCCGACTCTGCTTCCTTTCATGGACTTGCGGATAAGTAATGAGCAGTAGTACAATAAGGCAATTTAACGATAATAATTAACTAATTATGGTACGGGCAGTTAATTAATTAATTATTATCTATAACTATTGAAGAACGACATTGTGGTATATATATATATATATATCTATCTATAACTATGCTAAGCATCGTCGTCGTCGTGTCCAGACATCATCATCGCATTAGTTAGTAGAAAATAGTAATGACTAGTGATAAGTTGTTATCCGAAGAGAGGAGAAGAATTAGAGACCCAGAGCATCCAATTTAGAAGAAGAGTTTCCTCTTCTCACTCTGTATTTTCAAGCATTTGTATTCTTATTTGTAAACTAGTTAGTAAAGTAAGTAAGAGGTGACACAGTTTTAGATAAGTGCGGGTTGATAAGTATTACTACCTAGAGATATACATAATGCCAACATTTAGCTCTACTTTCTAAATAGGTGTAAAATAAGCTACGACGACTCTAGTGGTACGGATGCAAGCAACACTGATTGTGCCGAAAGCATCATCATCACGAGGGGAGGAGGATCGTTGGATAAGAGGAAATCATGCGGGTGGGTGGTCGTGCCGCGCTCTGAATACTCCTACGACATAAATTATACGGGATGTCAGTCTGTCATCTCGGGTCTGTTGTCTGGTCATTTTTATTAAGTTATAATTAATCCGTAGTAGTAATAATTAATTACAAATTTGGTAATCATCGTATATTTAAGGAATCATAATTTGCCAATTTTTGCGACGACGACGACGGATAATTCTTTAACAACGTTTGTTTTTAATTCACGATATTATTCTTAAAAATGGCGGAAAACGCCGCAAGGGACAATTATAATTATATAATTATTTTTGACATTATCACACCATCCGCATTTAATTGTCATTGATTCAATTACACGAAAGTAGCTCTGCGCAATAGTGAGTACGTTGTCAATTCCGACGTAGATAAGATACCCTCTGCCAAACTTTATGAATTAATGAGCGTCATATTTTTAGTTGTAACGTTTTGGAAAGTGGAGGAATTTCTTTGTAATTAATTTAAACGCAGGCGTTGATTTTTGTTTGTTCTGTTCTGTCAAATTTTACCCAAATGTTAATTGTTTATCAAGTATGTATGCATTTACGACGCCACAATACACAGACAGCAATATAAACTTTGGTTGTTAACCAATTGTCAGTAATGATGTGGAATCGGATAACTAACAAATGCTTAGCAAACTCGATTCGAAGAAGAAATTCGTCAATATTGTTAAATTAGTTATCCGCCACGTCGCCACGAATAAGGACTTCCTCGACTCTAACTTTTGTGACTCATTACTCAGTTACCATTAATTAATTAATTAATCGATTTCTTAATTATCTTGCACTTTATGTTGGATTAATTTGTCGCATTAAAACTGTAAAGTAAGGCTGTGGATCAGTGTGGGTTATGATAAGGTATGGGTGGGTGGATTTGGATCACGTGTTTCATTATCTCTGGTATGAATTTATGGATAATGAGTGAAATTAAAAACTATGTGGTTAGCAGAGAAATGCACCCACGCCGGAAAAACGGTGATGATACTAAATAAGCTCGAAAATAAAAAAGAGAAAGTTTAAAAAAGTCCATGCAGTTTTTAAATTTCAATTTATTTAAAGGATTGCATTTTTATTTGGTCATTAGTTGGTTGGGGTGTACGGGATTTGGGGGAAGTTCTGCCTGGCCTGGACCAACTGTTGCTCCCATTCGGTCCTCCATCCTTTGAATGCTGTGGTTGCCAGAGGTTTGAGGTCCATGGTGGCCGCTCCGCTCCAGAAGTGAACAAACTCACCAATATTCATGTCACGAGAGTAGCTGCCCCCACTTTGTGGGTAGTAGGTCGCGAGGAGGGTGAAGAATCGAGTGAGGACGAAGGTCTCTCCATGGCCCGAGTAGATCGGGTAAAACCAGTCACGAAACCTGAAGATTTTCTTGTGTGAATTTATAAAACTCGTATAAAAGTATCCATGCATGTATTACATTGCTGCTACTCAAGTAATATCATTGCATGCACAATATGTATGTATCAATGCATAATAATAAAGATGTACCAGAAGGTTCCGGTGGACGGAAAATCATCGCTTCCCTGGATCATTAGATTGTACCAGCGTTCAGCATCCTGTCGCATGCCAAGTTTGAAGTACACGTCATAGTTGAAGATCTCGGCCCACTTGGAGTCACCCCAAATTGGGAAGGCAGGTGAGCCATGGACGTCGCGGGAAGCTCCTTCAACGACGTGGGCAATTTCGTGGGTAACAATGTCCAGGTCGTTGCCTTGACCGGACAGCCAAGCCGTGGGGGACGAAGAACCCACGTCAATCACCTACCGAAATGTTAGTCATGAATTTATTTATACGATTTTGGAGTAAATATACAGATTCTCACATTTCTGAAATCGTGACTCGCGTCGAAATATGTGGATGGATGTCCTCCCGAATACTTTGCCGTGTGAAAGATGGCGTACAAATTATTCTCGGTGCCAAAATTCCCATAATTCCGCTTCACGTAACGCCACACATTCCCAATGAAGGCATTCGGCCACGTGATGGAGCGATCAACGTCAGAATCAAAGTATACTGCGACATCATCATCGGCAAAGACCAGGTCCAAATTCTGGACATGTTCGAACCAATGTTCTAGCCAATTTTGAGGTGGAGCAGGGGCCACCCCACGCATTGAGAGGATGACGAGAAACACGACAAATCCTGAAAATCGGGACATTGTGAAGGAACAGCACTGATTTGACCAATTGTTCTTGCCTCAATTTAACTGAGAATAAATATATTCTACGGATGATTGATTTCAGTTCTCGTTCTAGGATAAACTCAAACAATGCATATCAAATGGAATTAAATAATCGGCCAATTCATCAATCAGTTTTGAGTGAGATTGACACATATTGAGTACATAAATGATCATTAGCTTAAATAACATCAAAGAGATCACATTCTCTGTACATTTCTGCACTCTTTTTGCAATGTGTGCGTCTCGGGTGCAAAACTTATCTATCGGTGTTCAGCATTCAGTATGAAAAAAATTATTGATTTATATGTTTATTATTGTTAATGGTTAAATGTATTTAGTCGTATTTTTAGCCATAGCCACTACCCCTTAAACATACATCTTAACCATGAATGGGGGGTTTACACGATTCATTTTGTCAATTTCTTTCGATTCTCTGTATGGTAGCAATTATCAGAAAAGGTTGAAGCGATGGGTCCGTCCATCTTCACCTTCCGGGATTCATACCATTAACGTCGGACTTTGACAGTCAAAGTTGAAAACAGGTAGTTATGTACGTTACTCATCTAAACCTTTCACCTATCCAGGGTATGAATGTATGCATGTTTGTTTGTATGTATGAAACTACCGAGAATACCCATTGCTTATTGATGCGATTTTCGGTGCGACGTGTTTCCGTAATCGAGCATTTATGGATCGATTTATTGACAATTTGACAATGCTTCCATAAACTTTTATTATTCCCAGTTCCACGAATTTAGAATTCATCCGCTATGTCAAAATTTTAAACTTTTTTAAATTCATGAGACGACACATTTTTCTTGGATATTTTATTCATGAAAAATGTCAAAATTTCGCACAAGTGAAAAATATTTGCAAGCACTCTCCAACGGAAAGACAAAGGTCGGCGTCACCTTGATCCAACCGTGTCGAATATTGAGCGAATTGTTTTCCATTTAAATATTGTGCTATTGCGTGACAAGTCCATGTCACTTTGTCCGAGAAAGTAAAACGGGTATATAAGCACTTACTTTCTCCTCCTTTCCTCATGCACACGAGGCGTTTATGTGCTCACTCCACTCCTGGTTACAAGCTTTTGAGCACCACTAAGCGACACTCAAATCGAGGTCGACGCTAAACAAGCAGTTTAATAATAATAATAATGGCGACAATTTGTGCAGCATTAAACTAATTGGGTAGCAGTGCTTCAATAATTGGGGAGAAATCTGGTTTGTGCACATCTCTCTTTCTGCGATGGATCAAAATCAACCTGGTCCTTCTACGTCGTCCCCTTCCACATCGTTGGGCTCCACGACGACGACCAAAATTCACGATCTGGACTCTCACCTGAGAACAATTATCCTTGGACTGGAAAATGCATCCGGAAATGGGGAAAAGGTCCCTTGGACGCTGCCCGACAAGACCAAGGCGGCATTGGTGGCCAAGGCGAAACTTCACTTGGATAACGCCATACCCATTAAGCCGAGGAAGGAAACGGTAGAAAAGCTAATTAAATTATTCCCATGATAAAATTGCACTCCAAATTAAAAAAAACAAACACTGCAACTCTGGCGTTAATCTACAAACTTTTATGAAGTTATATGCAATCTAGTTTAATATTTGTGAAAATTATGACGGGTAATGACAGCTACGCGAACGCGACTTAAACACTATTTTTTTTGTATACAAACAGGTTCCTGTCAAAGAATGCTGGACCCCAGAAACGACTCGGACTACAACCACTCCGGAGGAAAGCAACAGTGCAACAAAACGGAGGAACGGTCCCACTTTCTCCGCCCTGCAGCGCGGAATCGCTCTCCGAGCGCCCCACTCCACGATCAGCATGCTCACCTGGCCCCAACGCCACGTGCCCTGGTGGAGTGCTGGGTCTGGTGGGGGCAAGGGGGACGACGGCAGCGAGGGAGACGCCGCCTCCATCATGAGCAAGGACAACGGGAAGGAGGATCCTGACGAAGTGGGGACAAATTCGGGGAAGGGCTCCTCCAAGGCAAGTTGCCTGCCGACTAAGAAGACGCTCCTCATATTTTTCATGGGGATGATCACTGGAAGCTTTTTGGTCCTCTTCTCCTTGAGCCTTACGGATATAGAGCTGGATTTGGATGATGCTGCATGTGCTGGGTGTGTCGGACCCGTGGCGAATGGGCTGGTGGGAAAGGAAGCCATGAATGATACGAGGTGGGTGCAAGATAAGCTCTAGAATAATGGCATTGGCATGAGATACACAAATTTCAAAAAATATATATGTTTGCCTTTCATGAATAGGGGAAGATCTCCCAGAAATATCGTGCCCAGACAGGATGGCAAGAGAAAAAATGCAACGACGGAAGGACAAGGGGTACACAATTTGATATATGCATAAATTTGGAAAGGGGAAGATTATTCAATTTATTCATAATATGAATTTATGTAGAAGGAAAGTAATAATCACGTGAGTACGAAGGACAAGGTTGGAAGTGGTAAGAGCAGTCCACCATCCGCTACTACGGCCACTTTGGTGACCACCACTAAGCGACCTGCTTCTGGAATCACTACGACTCGATTTCAGGAATCTCACACTGTTGCAATGACCCCAACAACAACATCACCGCTTGCTGCTTCAATCACGGGAAGAGTGGACGACGGTAAGACGACTACAACGAATAGACCTGTTGGGGGTGAGGACAAAATTGCTTTGCCATCTCCTGGGGGAGAAGGAAATTCGTCCCCTTTCACTGCTCCAACCACAGCTCCCTCGATGACCACGTCAACGCAAATGGATAAAGATGTGTTGCCGCTTGTGAGCCCGGATCCTCAAGTCACCACAGTTTCGTCCACAACGGAATCTACGACACAAGTACCCACGACCATAGATGCTGTATCTCACATGTTTAGGCAAACTATTGGAATGGACTTGTCAACTGATAATGGGCAACAAATAACAGAGTCGACGGCCACTCTCCAAACCGAAACGTCGTCTCCGATGGTGTATGAAGTAACAACTCGTGAAGAACATGATGTTGTCGCAATTACGACAATGGTAACAACACCTTCGTCGGAAATATCGGGATTGGATGTCACACTGACAACTGTGACGGCACAGACACAGTCATCAGACTCACCAGCACAATCAGAACTGAAAGCAACGTCGTTTGAGGCAAGCATTCCTACAACACAACCCTCTACGACGGGCTCTGCGACATCTGTCACGACAACGGAATTGAAAGCGACATCGTCATCACCATCTGAATCTTCTGCTATTTCACTGACTACTGAATCCGGGTTTACGACCAGGGTGTCTGACATTGACATATCTTCGGCATCTCCACTCTCATTTATCACGGCTACGGCAGCATCTCTACTACCATCATCAACCACACCCACTCATTCCTCATCCCCGTCATCCTCTCCCCCTACAACCCATGCCCAAAATGCAGACACAAGTTCTCCCCCTTTCAGCACAGCATTAAGTTCCTCATCCACTTCGTCACCCTTATCATCACCCTCAATTAAACTAACCACACGTCCAGAAGAAGTAACATCACCACCTCGTACTTCTCCGATCGAGCAACCCGTGACCACTGGACCAGCCGCATCACCACCTGCATCACCATCGCAAACTCCGACCTTTATTTCTGTTCAAACCACCCCACATCGGGAAGATTCAGGCATTGTCGTCACCAGCGTTTCTCCCGTCTATCAAGATGGGCCCTTCCCATCATCTCCAGCGCCACCAACGATTCAGGCGCGACATGATGATGCTTACCTGCAAGCGACCAAAACGACCCCGGAGTCATCATCACCGAGAACTCTTGTGTCACAGGATCACTTGACTGTGGGCAGGACTCAATCAATGTGGACTACAAATGCGGCTGTAACACAACAAACCACCACAACTGAGGACTTTTTGGAACAACGCCACACAACAGGACTGGACACGACGTTGTCACCAACAAGTTCTGATATGACAACACCTTTGTCAGAGGCTAGAAGTATGGACGACGACGAAACACCGGCAGAAGGACAACAACCCGAAGCTCAATCTGAGCAAGAACAGACACAGCAAGTCGTTAGCACGCCGAGGAAGCGGAAAAAAGGGTGGTGGGTTAGGTTCGTGGAAGCCGTGAAGAAGTATGTGGTCAAAGTTTTTGAGTAAAATTATGCCCGCACGTGTATGCAACAAGTCACGGCAATCTTGACCAAATTAAGGGTTTAAGATGAATTAGGACAAATGTGCTATAAATTATTCTGTGATTTCAAGCAAATTGGCGTGTAAAAGCTATCTTCATTTCACACATGAGCTATTATCTGAGCTTTGATGAAACCGTATTTCAACAATGATGTAAATACAATCAAGTAGTTGCAAATAAATATAGAACGCCTAATAATTAACTCCTGGAATCGAAAAACAAATTACGAATCTGTGCACGCTTATATAAAACTAACAAGTAGATTATACACATGAGAATAAAATTCAGTTATAATACTTATGGGTAATAATAAAAAGTTGTCTTGAAGACATTGAATTTATTTTGTATAACAATTCTTCTGATAACAACGCATCCCTACATTTTCCTTCATTGTTTCAGCTACAAGTTTGACTAGCTGCTGCTCACTAGACTTACTACATACATGATTAGAGTTGTGTAGGATAAGAGGGCACGGTAAATTTGAAGATTTATAGTTATTTATATATAAAAACGAAAACTCTCAAATCTCTTAGAAGTGAAACTATTGAATCAAAACTTAAATATATCCGTAATAAACCCGTTCTTTATAAGCTTTCCTAATATCGTCTGATCCTCTCCGAATCCGTCTCCCAATTGGTTCCAGATCACCGTAGCATTTGTCAAATACCGACTCCACGATTTCGCGAGCTTCCTCTTTCGGCATGTCGCGTACCGCAAGGACGGAATCTGTGGCACGTTGCTTGACGCATTCCTAGCAATACAAGGAGTACATGCATTAGTATTTATCAAACATATTTGCGAATTTCTTTTTGGCATAAAAACGAACCTGATGTCGTTGTTTAATATTAAACGGAGATGCAGAACCGTACGTCCACGCTGAGAGGAAAGAGCAGTGAGCCAAATTTGCTGCACGAATTTCCGTGCAGGCCAAATGTTTCGCATCCGTCAAGTCCATTTTATTTCGACAGTAGTCAAACATGTGGATAAGTTCGTGGGTAAGAACACCTGAACATAAAAAGTAGTTTATTCTTGCAATCCGCATATTTATATTGGGTATTGTTTGTAACCCAATAGTTTGGTAGACCAGTTATACAAGTCCATCTCCACTTCATACTCACCTTGGATTAGGCCTTGATATCTCGCAGTATTCTGACAAACTACAACCTGATTCAGAATTGGATCATATCCTCCAGTAACCGAGTGGTCGCAAACTTCGCATGAGATGTGGCGTCGAATGTCCACCTCACTAGGAAAAACAATATAAAACAATATAAAACAAGTTGTTATTTGAATTTTGGTACATTACACGCATCGATGCTTTGCTTCTATTATTCTTACCATCCTGAAGCTTTCAAAGCATCCAGCAAAATTCGGACGAGATGTGATTTTTTCGCAATCTGCCACACATTCCTCTCACACTTGATCTTATCGAGCCCTTCGCGACCTTCTCCTCCAAACATGATATTCCACCAGGAAGGCTTGTAAGGATCGCCACCCCGTTCTGGATAGAGGCTGCGACATTTCGCCAGATCTTCAGACTTCATGGCGTCAATTAGCGCATTTCCAGAGAGGGGGCGTTGCTAATAAAGAATGTTTTGTATTGATACATATTCTATGTTTCTTTAAATTTCTCTGCTTATCTTTCTACCTTAGGAGCAGCCGCGGCCGCAGCGTCTGCCGCTTTCTTGGCCATTCTCGCCGCAGCATTCGCCTTGCTTTCTGCATCCAAACGAGCCAGTGCTTCCTCCACACTTTCCGAACAGTCGACCCAGGTTGGCATCGTGTTGGTTTTAACTAAACTAAATCCCCAAGGAACAAATAAAATTGATAACTACTAAACTCACCACAACTCTTAGTTTTTAGCAAAAATTGAACATTGCAATTTGCAAGCACGAGACTGGGAGTGAGAAATCTTTTCCCGGCTCGTAACGTGAACCAAATGAGTCTTTGTCTCATATGTAATTATTAATTTCTGTAGAATTTGTCATTTACATACATTTTGCATAATGTGATGAAAATTAATGATATGCACATGTATTATTTTAAATGTTAAGTTACTTCATTAGATGTTTGAATTATCTACTTTATTCTTATGCAATAAAGAACAGTTTCCCTTGTCACAAAAACTTCATGTAAATGACGAGAAAAGTAAATTTATGTTATTTAAGTTACATATGAGATGGTTAGCTTGCTTCATTCGTTTCATTTTAAATAGATTTGAGGTATCTAGTCCGGCTGACTTTGGGAACGGAAACGGAGTTATAACTATATAGTATTTCTCAGCTTGAACTGGATCAAAATTTAAGGAAATTAGGTTTAGAAATTAGATAAGTGGGAAGAGTTTAAAATCACTTTGATACAACTCTAGTACACTTATAAGATTGGTGACAGTTTAATTGAAATAATGTTAAGAGAAAGTCGAGCTGTTCCCAGGGCGAAGCGTAAGATTGCCGATACCTATCCAGAGTTCCGTGGCGACTATGACCAGGAAAAGGGACAGAAAGTACAGCGAGTTGAACGCGGAAGTCAGGAAGCCAAGAGGGTGACCAAGTCGCGAGAACCACCAAAATCGCCAATCATTCTTCGCTTCCATGTGTTCCCAGGTCCTAATTCAGGCCTTTATTCTGACCTAGCGAGGCAATTTAAGGACGGGATACTGGCGGATAGGTAATTATGCCAAGTACTCTAGAGGCTAACTACGACCGTTAAGCACTTCATTTATTATTTACTCATTTCTCCAGTGAAAACGATATCCGAGCCGAGTTCCTCTTCCATGTTGGCGACCTCCCACGAGTATCTACCGACTACGACTACAACGCCTCGAGCAACGCCATTTCCAGTACGCTCTACCTTGACCACACGCGACTCAAGCTAAAGATAGAAAAACAGGAGGAAAAAAATGAGACCCAAGCAGAATCAATCCCGAAGGGGTCTTATGTTGGTTCTTACACACTGACCTCCGAGCAATATGACGCCCTTCTTCTCGAGCAGTACCCTAACCTGAAATCTCAACAAGAGGAGAACCCAAGCACGACAGGAGCCAGTGGAGAAACAGACAAACTAAGTGCCAATCAGCCCTTGGTTCGTGTCGTCGTTGAAGAAAATGGGATCGTCTATGTGCAGGTGAAAGAACAAAAGTATCTCGTCAATCGAACCTCCATCGTCATCCCGAGACTGTCATTGGATGAGATTGCAGCAGCGACAAGAAGGTCATCACGGATGGAAGTACAAGAGGAAGGTCTATTGGAGGAAGACGAGGATTCAATGTCCGGTTGGGAATCTGTAGCTTGAATAGGCAAAAAAATTGTCCATGTATTATTATCATCGTAGTAAATTTTAGCGCAACATTTTTTTGGTAACCAATTGATGATTTTTTTTTACATCTCGACTAGTATCTCGATATGTATAATCTTATAACAGCATACCTCCAGATATGCAAGTGATATATGATATGTGATATGATATACGATAAATGCTTTCAATTTTAAGTAATCCACTAAATATTATACTCATTGTATAATAAATATTTCATTTGATACCACAGATTGAGTAGTCCGCCCTTTTTGTGTCATTTCTTAAAAAACATTACCCAATAGATTAATAATCAAAAACATTATTGCACAAATCAGGACCCAATCATCACCTTTGATTCCCATTGTCCATTCATACATCATCTCATTCAGAATTAAATAGAAAGAGATGAAGCACATATTTACATAGCACATCCATAAGCAGGCGCATGGACAAAGCAGATTATCGTCGCATATTGTCAATGGTGGCGAAGATGGGAAGTTGCAAAGAGTAGGAAAATGGAAATTGAGCGAGGGTACTTATCATGGAGAAGAAAGTCGGAGAAAGTAAGAGTAAGCAAGTACAAGTTAGAATACATCTCAAATAGGAATGGAAAGATGCGAGACTTTGTTCTCCCATGATATCTCGTCTCCAGGAAGGCTTAAGTTTGACAGGACACACGTGACATGTTCCAAGATCTGGTCAGATGCATCTTATCGTGGATAAGCCCTTATCACCTGACTTATCCAACCCATCTCACCTTCCCCCCACCAGCGGGACTCGTCCTGACAAGCCAGGGCATTTTATCATTACCGTTACCGTTCCATTGTGGTTCACACTACTTGCACAGAGCAGCACACGATTAAGTAAGTTGGCTTATTTGTTGTTAAGAAGAAGACAAACTGCTTGTTTCCCCTCCCTCCATCCTTACTCTCACCATTTCAAAAGTTATCAAATCCACGACTAACAGATAAGAAAGACTTAGGTTATCTAGTTTGTGTCCAATTGACTGATGAGAGACCTGTGACAGGTCACCTGACTAGTTGAGACGTCTCCAAGCATCATCGGGAAAGTGAAGACAAGTGGATCGATATCGATAAGTACGCATTTATTAGGTGAGTGGGCGAAAGGAAGGAAGGAGGACAGAAAGAGGAGCGACCACACCACGAGTGTGCAAAGTGTGTGTGATTTTTATGTATTTTTTATTTATTTGTGATCTGTAGAAACGTGAGTGATTGCTGCCGACGGTGGACGAGGAGCGAGCAGGAGCGGTGGTGGTGGTGGTGAAATAAGTGAGTGACCCGAGCAGCTGGCGTCGCCATTACGACATTTTTTATTCCCGTGAAAGAAGAAGAAGCAGCAATTGTGAATAAATCAGTTCGACTAATTAACCAGAGAGGTAAGCTGTTAATTAATTATTCAATGTGTGTGATGGGTATTTGTCGATGAAGATCAATGTTTCATCGTGGTGGGAAAGATAACACGATATCGTCACATGGTTGGCTTGTCAGTCAGTCAGTGTAGATGATATGACAGGTGTGACTGATAATGATGGGGTAGATATCATTCAGATAGAAATTAAACAATATAGTTAAAATTTCCCATTTTCATGCATGTTTATGTAAATTTCATCAAGATTTTAAATTATTTTGTATACACAAATGTTTTTCAAAGATGAATTGTTTAAAATTCTTTTAATTATATAACAATAATGTACGTGCATTTGGTATGAACCCAAATTCAGTTCATTTTTATCATGAATTGTTTAAGGAAACGCGTAGGTTGTTATAATTGCGTAAACAATTAGTTTCCTAACTACTTCCTTGTTCCAGCGTAAGAAAATGGAGGGAGTATTTTTTTAACTTTTTTCTTGTTCCTTTCTGTGGACCTACCAAATCTGAGAGAGGTGACGTAATAAAAGTGTAACGTGACGCAGAGTGAATCCGTACACTAGAGTAATTAGCGAAGGAAGAAACATTAAAAAAGCTTATACCTGTACTGTACTACTCGTTGTTAGTCATCAATCATGTGTCATTCATGATGCAGGAGGAGAGTTTATGTTAACCAGCAGCTCATCTCAGGTGACGAACCTGACAGGGGAGGATCAGGTTCATACCATATCAGATTGAAAGCTTCTAGAGAGTTTTGTTTCGTCCGTGTTTTGTCCGTTCTTGGAAAATCGTTAAAGGAAACGTTGTGAAATATCGTATTGCATGAATAATATTTAAGATCCAGGGTAAATTGTTGAACTTCATTAATAGCACGCAGTTGGAGTTGTTTGTATAATTGCGCAATAATTAATTGATACATTTGTTTGCCACAGCTATCTGTCAACCAAAGTGAATTTATTTCTTCAACTGAGTAGTCGATACGATGAGCATCGAACGGAGATCAACTCGTCGTAGCACGACTGAAAATGTGACCGTGGTGAGTAGTACGACCGACCCGGAGGATGTGATTGCTTCCAAAAAGCTAACCGAGGTCAACGCCAACCTCACTGTTAATCCTAAAGAGCTCCTCATAGACGGACTTGGAGTAGAAAATGGTTCAATCGTTGTGGAAGGGAATGGTACCAAGGACGAAAATGGATGTGGGGACGACGAGGAGGAGAGCGTGATTGAAGATAATGACGAAGACGATGACGATGGGACTCCAGACGCTAAGATTGCAAAACTTAGTGGTAATATAACTAATATAATGTTTTTTAAGGATGCAGTGAGAGTTTTATGAAAGTTGGGCATTAATTAATTAACTGTTAATAATTTCTCAGATGATACGGACGAACAATCGAATCTTTCTGGGGATCAAGTCGTATCAAGCAAGCCGAAGGGCCGCAAGGAGAAAGTGAAGCATCAATGTCACCTCTGCGAGAAAAGTTTCCTTAAGAAAGGATTTCTAACAAAGCATCTCAAATCCCACTCACAACCTCGTCCCTTCATCTGCGATACTGAAGGTTGCGACAAAACCTTTGTGTCGACAAGAGGGTTGGAAAAGCATGTCAAGACTGTGCATGAAGGAGAAGAATTTATGCTCCATTTGTGTGCATTTTGCCAGAAAGGCTTCATTACCCGATCTGAGATGGAAAGTCATGCAGAGACTCATGTTTCAGACTATAAAATGTACGCATGTCGCTATTGTGGAAAGACTTTTGTGAAAAAGTTTGCAATGAAGATTGCGGTTCAGGCATGTCAAGATCAGCCTGTTGATCCTTGCCCATACTGCAACAAAGGAATTAATCCTAATGCATACAAAGATAATTAATAAGTGGCGCTAACCGATTAACAATTAGTTAATGACAAGGTGGTGGTGATGAGATGTTCTAAGGCGAGGGAAATGAAATGTGAAGGAGCTGTTTTATTTAAGTGTCAATGTTGTATCTTTGTTATTTAGTGATTTCAAGTTATCGTCGTTGTCGTTAATTCAGTATATGAGATAATTGTATACAACAAGGTTACTGCAACTGCCAAGTTTTAAAATTTACCGAGTAATGGAACGTTTAAATGTTCATTATTTTTATAATTGTTATTCTCGAATAGGGTGGATATAAATATTTATGCCCTAGTTTTCTTATTAGTTTACAGAAAATTGTAGAGTTGCAAAACACATGTTGATATCTTCTTATCAATGTATTGTTTTGTAACAACAACATTTTTAAAACTCCTCAAACTTGATACGTCCGATCCAGTAATTATATACCATATATTTACTAGTTATCAAACTCAATTATCGAAATATTTCGGTTTATGGCGAAGAGATTTGACCAAATTCAAAATTTATTTTAATTTTACCGATTCTTTAAATCATTTTGTTTTTAATGATCGTTTGTTATTACTATAATGTCACCAAGTCACATTACCCTACAGTTGTTGTGTTGTTACTTTGATACACATCCAATTTCAGAGTTTTAATATTATTCTTAACAATAAAATATCTATAAGAATGTTACCGCTTTATATTAATGACTTTTGTTGTTGTTGTTGTTAATTGGTGTTGTTATGTACTTGTCATAAACATTAAATGTATTAATTCGTCAATCATTTATTAATTGAACGGTGAAGGGTAAAAAAACGTATTGAAAAAATGATGTATCTATCTATGTTATAACGTAATTATGATATTCAAACCACTCCATTCTAAAATATCTATGTACCAATCAACCAAATCTCTCCATGCAGTCCATTACATAGTTTATGTGTAGGATTAATTTGTAATTTTCAATGTTTTCGGATTCCTTGAATACTTTTGTTCACCGGAAATCAAGGTACTTTTATATCGTAGGACGTACACAATTTATAGGGACTTACAAATTTAGTAGGCTAATAACTGGTGTCAGAATGTAAAACTGCCAGTGGGAAAGTTCACCAAAGTAATTAATCGTCACCATCTTTTCCCGTTTTTTCTTCTAAGAAAGAGATCTGTTATTTCCACGATAAAATATTTAATCGACTCTCTCTTTCTTGTGAACTCGTATTTTATACAAGTATCAAAGTCTATCCATCAAGTTGCTCCGTATCGACTAAGGAAAGTCCAACGTTCTACCTTAACTTGTGTCCAAAAATCGAGATGGTTATCCCCGAGTAAACCCTAAAATCTCAAAAGGCAGTCAAGTACCAAAAATAAGGCCGTTCTATAACGTGTCTAAATACGAAATGTCTCACCTACCCACCGTTGACCAGGCGTACTATGAATGATGACTACTCTTGTAACTTTATACAGGCGTAGATAATGACAATGGTTCATTTGTACTGTTAAAGTATGAAGGAATACATAATTATTCACCTTGTTCATGGCAAAATGTGTAATTATTATTATAATTTATTATGTCTAATTAAATTATTGATGACAAATATTTAAATTTATAAATGTAATTACCAGTTTTAACTATATTGTTGATTAAGATTTGATAATTGATTTATTACGGTTTCAGGTTTTTTCTATTTCTTTTCTTTATCTTGTATTCGTTCTCATGTTTTGTATTTCATGAAAAAGTTATGCTCTGATTTTGGTCATGGTACAACCGGTTTTATGATAATAAAGTGTTCCTCTTATAAAAATAGCATATCTCACATCATTCGCTATTCCATTTTATTATTCATGAAAACTTTCTGGACACTCATCTCGTCTGCATCTCGCCGAAAGCTGAGAAACTGTACGGGTCTAAGATGTCTACTTCCACTGAAATACACAAAGAAAGATGAATATGAAAGATGTCAAAATGTTAAGGAGACTAACATGACCAAGGACATTGGTCCAAGCGGCCGTTCGAATTCATGGGGCTGTTCCTTTTGTACCTGAAGTGAACTGAATGCGCTCTCTCTTCAACTAGAGTTACAAATATTAGATTTCAAACTATGCAATGCATTATTGATTTGTGCAAAATGGGTGTGGGATGAATTACTCTCTGGCTCGTCGTCATTGTAAGAGCGAGTTTACGTGGGATAGACTTGTGGCACATCTTGAGCCGCAGGAGTGGGAGGAGGCGTATAAACCGTGGGGTCGGTGGTGGGGAAGGCTGAGTGGGAGTGGCTCTGGGTGACCAGAAGAGTCGGCGTAATCTATTTCAAGTAGTGAATCACGTAGTTGTTAAAGCAAATCTCAAAATGCCTCATATACAAATACAACTCGTCAGCTCAGCATTCACTCACGTTCACGTTGTGCATTAGAGAAGCAGAAACCTCAACTCCCGTGAGAAAAGTGGGCTATTCGAGACTTGAGACCATCTCGTTCCTACAAAAATCTATCTATTCTCCGACAATTCGTACGGTATTCGAAAGAAGCTTTAAATCGAATAACTGGACATGCAGTGGTTTGGTTGAGGAGAGGGTTCCGGCGATGATGGGTCGACTATATTTGTGGGGATGATGTGTCATCTTTGTCGTCATAGACTATTTCCGGCATGGGAACTTTTTGGGATAAAATTATGACTGCCAAACTGCAAAGATGCAACCCGTTTTACGAAATTCCCTGTTTAAATAACGTTGATGCATGACTTATTTCAAGCATCAACGTTGTCACTGACCTTGTCCCTATTTAAACTAATACTTTATTGAGTAGTGTATTAAATCAGCAGGTTCACATTCTTGAGATACTAGCCAAGCATGATTTGATTTGGTAATTAATGTGGCCATTAATTAAGCAATACTTCTGCACGAACTCATTTTATTTCACAACGTTCAACTATCTTATTCTATTAGTTTGTGGAAACGTTGTGGGTGAGACAAAAGAACTGGTTATCAAATTCATGTAAAAATGAGTGGCTGTTAGGTTTCTCATCTAATTTGAGTAATCTTGCAATGATTGCTTTTTGTGAATTCGTCATCTATTAATTTATATTGCCAGAGTATTAGTAGTCCAGATATGCTGTCTGCATGTGCACCAATTGATGACAACTTGCAAAAGAACGTGACCGTGTGAACCATTGTCGTTAATTAAGTAGTTTGTTTGTTTTACCTTTATTTAACGTGCAATTCAACCTATCGGTACAAAATTAGACTGGTCTCCCCAGGGTGACACGACTGACAACATTATTATTAAAATTAATAATTAAGAAACATGCATATATATGCATGTTATATAACAAAACAAGTTCACGAGAATTTTCATATGATATAACATTAACATATTAATATACAGCGTTGAAACAAGTACGAGACTATAAGGGATTGGTGCTCTTTCAAAATTACCTGAATAATTAACAAAAGTAAAAGTAAGTAAAAATTAGTAAATCGTTTATGGCCACATCCACAACCAGACATAACCCCAAAAAGTTAACCGTTTTCCATCCACAACTCTTTTGTCCAGTTCGTGCATGATGGACTTGTGAGCATAAATCTGATCGTGAGAATATCCGTTTTGTATGAATGTGATATATTTGTAGCCAGCCTCGCCCGTCATGTAGTTCTTCACGGGGGTGACATAGGTAGCATGGACCTCAATGGATAAGACCTGCATCGAAAAATACATATACTGCCAGTAAATAAACTATGTAATCTGTATATTTAGTTCAAAATATACTTGTGAACTTTACCTTGATCAATACATTTTCCCACGGGATGGTTTTCAAAACATCCAACTCGGCTCCTTCAATATCCAGACTAAAGTAGTCGACAGTGGTCAAGTTCAAGGCCGATAGGATCGCGTAGAGGGGAAAACATTGCGATTCGAAAGCGTGGTAGTCTTCCTCTCGACCAATAAAATGCCTTTTTCCCCGGATGAAAGAGAGCCCTTCGTCCCTCGTGTGTCTGAGAAAGGTTATCTGTGGAGAATTCCTTATCACACCTTGTTGCTAAATGGAAAATGGCTGAGATTCTATCTAATTTACTTTTTATGAGATCATACGTACCTTTTTTGGACGGATGCTGGTAGAGAGGCAGCATTTCGCAATATATGCGGCTCTGTTGCGTTCGACCAATCTTTTCAACGGTCGTGGGTCCCCCTCAATCAAAACCCCACTCCAGTTAAACCATCTCTCAAGCAGCATCGTATTGGAAAAATATTCCCCATCATTTGCCCCCGCCTCGATAAATGTACCATAGTTCTGTACAATACAATTAATACAAATCTCAAAGTTACATAAGTTGTTTAAAAATATAAATGAAAGTATTTTGCGATTATCAGTTTTAATTATTTATGTACGTACTTTTCGGAAGAACAGATTCAATACAAAACGGACCACTTCCTGCTGTTTATACCTGACCGTGAGGTGAAGTGGAGTCCAATCAACTCCATTACCTCCGAATGGCGACGGTTGGATAATGTACTTCCTGACGATGTATGCCTGCAGCTTGGGACTAGTTTGAGTCAGGCTCTCCCAGGACCCGTTTTTCCATTCTGTGGAAATGACAAAATGGAAAATGAAATCGGCATTGATAATTCCAAACCAGTGGGGGTGGAGTTATCAAAGCCGAATGAAATAGACTGCTTTCTTGTGTCTTGCCTTACTTGTCTCCACAATCGGAGATAAGTACGAGGGCAGGTTTATTACTAATTAATTAAGTACTAACATTAACTTTGAATAGTTTATTATACCTGGTGTGTCTGGAGACTCCGAAATGATGGATTCGATCCCCCTGGAATCGTACCGAATTCTCGCCACCACCTCCGTACTATTGAAGGCTCTGATGCCCCAGCGGAGAAGGCCGACAAAGGGAAGGCAAGCCAGCAAGGTCAGAAACCAACGGCGATGGCAAAACCTTCGCAACAGGGCTTTTTTGGGTCGCAAAGTTCCTGCGTACTTGAACTTGGGGGAGGGGAGGATGATCATGACGACGAGAGAGACGAGGGGATGAGGGGACGATAAGAAAAATAAAGTCGTAAATAAATTCACTGGAGAAAATCGAGGAGAGTAGTTCCGAGAGTAGAGTTCATCTGCACTGCCAGCCAACCGGTGACTACCTGCGAGGCGACTGCGACTGACTTTTCGTTCCATATGATATTTGGTTGTCTTGGTTATTAGCCAGTCTCACTCTCAAATTGAGAGTCTCAATATTGCGATGGAGCTGCTGCTGGACACTGTCATCGGCTGTCAATATGGGAGAAAACGCCAAATGGTTCTATATCGACAGCTACCCCACCCATTGGACCGGACTGGACGGACGGGGCTGGAAGATTAAGAGCAACCTGACCTTTCGAGGTAGTCAGGGTGAACAGAGCCTATTCGAAATAGTTCGTTAATTGAAATAATAAATAATTAAAACAGAAATACATTAAGAACAATATATTTGTGCATGATATATAGTTGACCTAGTTGTAGCTACCATTCTTTATAAATTATTCTTAGATACTGGTATGCAGAGATGAACAACGGTATCTGTACCGACCCTTCTCATACGCATTAATGAAAACCTAATTCCGGTTAAAAACGCTATATACTTTTTACCAAATCTATCGTTAAGCGCGGTCGGTATAGTTCCAATGTACATGTACATACGTTTCTAAACTTCAATTGTAACCGGCCATGTGTACCGGCTACACTGTGCATAAACCCAGATCGACCCGAAATGCAAATAATTGAGAAGTGCTTTGGACAGTGGTAATTTTGGCAGCAAATTTCGAAGTGCAGTAATTTTATTTCAAGATCGTACAGCAGATTAACATAATGCTCGTCCTCCTATGTAATGTTAGTTTCGTCGCTGTATAGTCCGGGTAGGATGAGGTTGTGAGACCCCATGTAGACGAAAGAGGTCGGACTCTCGTCCGTGTGAACCTCCGTCTCTTTGGCCGGAAGGAACCTCACCTTCGTCGGTTTGGGGGTAGTCGTGCTCGTCGTCATTCGAGGTCGAAAACGGTGAACAACGTTGCTGTTGTCGTTTTGACGTGGCCGTTTCGTGGTGGTCATGGGGGCAACGGCTTCAGAAATGTCACTGCTTTCAACGTCTTCGTACTTTGGGGATATTGAGATGTTGTACTTTTCAAAGAAATTTGTCGCCTTCACCTTTTTCGGCGATTGACTTTTAGTACGTTTCACCAAAATGGATAAATTATTGCGTTTTTTATAATTGTTTTGATATTTTGAATCATCTCTTTCATCGAAAGTAACTCCATTAGATGTTGAAATGTGGTTGACTTGTTCGTCATCACCAAGAGAAAGCAGCTTCTGGATTCGGATACGACGAGTAGCATTAGGTTTTTTGGTTAAGGCATTTTCAGAATAACTTGCCCCATTTTGTTTGAGACTTCGCTTAGACAAGCTTCTGCGAGGTTTCAGCAATTGCTCGGCTTCTGCTTCGTCATGGTCAATCTCAATTAAATCCAAATTGGTCTTTTTATCCACTTTGAAATCACTGAAAATGTCTGGCAGTTCGGAAACGGGTTGAATGTTGAGTGGGTCTGGCCAAAATCCTGCTTGCCACCTCACCCAATAGGAAACCTTGCGTTTGTCCACTTTGGATTTTGGAGAATAGACGAGAAATCGTGTTCTTTCCTCTGCAACGGGTCGATGATGGGATTCTCTGGGGGGTGGCAGTGACCGCTTTCGAAGTCTGTGCGTTCTGCTGAGGACACGGTCGGCGTCACCTTCAGAGGATAACTGATTTCCATTACTCATTGTGTTCATAATCCAGTAATTGACCTGTCAGCATAAAAAGGATGCGAAACTCGTGAAATAGAAGAACTTACTACGCCAACTAAATAAATGAACCGCCCAATACCATACAAAGCGATAAGGTGACCTTATAAGTTTATTTAAGCAAATCAATTAAATACCCCAGCACACAACGCAATGACGACGACTATAAAATGGTTTTCTAAGGCAAAATGAAAATGTAGCATTTCAAAATGTTCTCAAATTATTTCCATACTCTGCAATTACACCAACCACCACTACTAAATAAGCAAGACATAAATTAAATTCAGGACAAAATGAGTTTAGCTGCTCCAATTTACAAAAAAGTGTAAAATACAAGTACAAGAACTTATCAGTTGACTCTACTCACTTTGGAATTCATTAGAGGTCTATTATGGAGATGATGCACTTGAACGCGACGATGCTGATCCAACACGGGTGTTTTGGGGATGGGTGCCGTTTTTCGAGCGGATCTTATCAACTTGGGAACACCTTGTTGGTGGTAAATGTACTGCGGGCGGGGGACGTAGGGCGTTTGGATTTCAGGGACCGTGTAGTAGTCGGCCCAGTGGGGTTGCCTCTGCTGCGCGTAGAATTGGGCCAAGTGGTACTGAGCAAAGTCGATGTCAGACTGATTTGGTTGGACGATCCCAGTTTTCTGCTGTTGTTGTTCATCCTCTGCCCTTCCAAGGATTGGATCCTGGCTCAAATGCGTTCTTGGATATTGTTGATGGTCGGGTTGGTAGTTCGTATAGAAATTCGTACTCGGCGTCGGTCGGTGGTCACGACGTAGCATTTGCTGGAGGGCAAGAGCTTTTTGCAGAGCAGCGACATACAATGGCTTCGTGTGCTTGTTGAGGGACACTGGTCGGGGGGAACTGACTGAAGACGTGTCGTAAATTTGGGTGGGTTTGACAGTGGCAGTGGTTGTGGTAGTGGTCGTCGTTGGTTTTGGGGTCGTAGTTGCGGATGGGTAAGGGACCAAGGTTTTGGTAGGGTAGGAAGTCAAGCTTCCAGCAAATACGGGGGACGGGGTATTCTCGAGTTCTGCGTCTTTGTAGGTTGATGAAGTGTAGTATTTGGATTGAAGAGATGGCTGAAATCCACGAGGAAGAAAGAGATGAAAAATTATAGAGTTTAAATTATCTCAGACATAGCTAAGTACTAAGTACGTAGTTTCACCTGATCAGAGTACTTTTCCGTCGTGGTGAACACGTCCGAATACGCAACTGGACCTTGGGTTGGATAAGCAGCAAGATTATTTTCCTCATCATCGTAATTGTAACCGGAAGTGACCTCGTCAGGATAGCTTGGATTTTCCTTGACGCTAAAGTACTCCGAAGGATGCTTGTCTCCTGGTTTGTTGCTGCCATAAGGGCTGAGAATGGGATAAGGCTTCTCCGTGACGGGGTCGAGAAAAGGATACTCGCTGACTGAGGACTCGCTCACAGTATCGTCGTACGGATCTGTAATTTTTAGACCAAAATCTCCCATTACCGCTTTGGTGATAGACATTAGTCTCTACTCTTTCAAATTATGCAGTTGGTTCTACCATCTGATGTCGACTCCTCCTGCACGTAACTGGATGGTGTAGCTGAGTCGTCTCCTTCCTCGTCCGGTTTGGGGTACTGGACCTGATAAGGGACATCGTAAGCCTGTGGGGGTGGCAGCGTGTAACTGTCATCAATGAAGTCTTGAAGTCTGTCCTTCAGCTGAGATGATGAGCCACTTGGTTGCTTTTGGGGTGATGATACCGGTTCATATTTGTAAATTGGGTATGGATTTTGCGTCTGAGCTACTTCTTCTCCCTCGAGTGGGGGGTACACATAGTCGTCATCATAGCCAATCGTATCGTCATCGTATGGAGAAGTGGGTGCCGTTGTCGTGGTTGGATAATGGATGGACAACGAGTCTAAAGAATTTTGAGATTTTGGGGGTCGGTACAACGTTGAGGTGGGTTGAGCGTGAGAGTGAGATTGGTGCGAGTATGGATTTAAAAACTGTTTCGCAGAAGAAGGAGGAGGAGAAGGAGTGGTTGTCTGGTACTCGAAATTGTCGGTGGGATCGTATGCATCATAGTCCTCGGTGTTTGGGATGGGATAACTGCCCACGGAAGAGAGTGAGGGGGAGGACGGAACACTGTAGTAGGAATCCTGGTGGCACATAATTTAGATTTAACGGAATAATCGTTTAGGTGAAACTCAACAAGATTAACTAACCTTTTTATGTAGTAGTAAATTCAAAAAAGGGTCATCCTTGTCCAGAACGACTGGGTCGAATGGGGAAATAGGAACTGATGGTGATAACTGGGACGAATACTCGCCATTATCACCCAATTGGATAGATTCAACATGACCTGGTTTCGTTTTGCTGTCGGAGTGCATAGTTTTGTGCGGATGGTCAAGTTGTGACAAGAATAAAGCGACGAAGGGGTCGTTGAGATTGGTTAGTTCTTCTGGAAAGTGAGACTGGGATGACTTTATAACTTTCTGGTTGTGGTGCCCTTGGTCTTTACCTCGACCTTGTAGCGGATTAGTCCACTCATCAAGATCTTGGCTCAGGCCGGTTTCAAAGAGGTCAGTATCAAGCCCATTCCCATTCCCTGCACGCCCCTCGGTTAGTGCATCTGCTAAATGCTTCACTTGCTCGAGCAATGCCAACTTGGTGGCGTCAACACTAGTCGTCTGATCCTGGTGAGAGGAATCCGTATGAAGAAATGTGAGCTGCTCCTGAAAACCAGCAGGAATTTGAGACGATTGCTGCCCATTCAGATACTGAGAGGAATCTGCAAGTGACAACAATGATACATTTATTCCGTACTCATTCAGGAAATGAATAGGCATCACCTGGGAAAAGGCCCTTTGGAAGCAATTGGTGGTCAGCGAAACGTTGAACCTCAGCCAGCATGTTGGCGTGGTCTTGAGGTGGGATGTAGTACGTGGTTGGGGAGCCCTCGATATTCGACGCATCGGAATTTGGATGAGAAACGCGTCCTGCGGAGGGGTAGTACCATTCCATGATGGGAGACCGCTTCATCACGCGGTGCTGGGTTTCATGAGCTGCAAAATTGCATTGTACATACTTACTGAACTACATTTATTGCTTTATTTATGTGACATTCTTACCCGGAGAGATTGACTGAGACGATGACGCACTTATCCTATCCTGACCATAGGGGAGCAAAACTCGTTTATCGCGAACCCTGATTTATAAGAAAATAATGAAAAATCTCAATTGTCCCATGGATTTTTTTAATCACGATTTTTGCATGCCTTCTTTTAACTGAATAACTTTCCGCTTTCCAAATCCCACTGGCCACAAGGATGAACAGTATGAAAAAATAGCCTCCTCTATTAATACTTATTGATTTCATTTTAAACGTGTAAAATGAAATAAAGTACAAAATTTGAAGCTGTTCAAATCTGGATATTTGGATCTCTGGAAAGGAGATGTGCATGCAGGTCTACTGGAGTCGAGGCTTCAAGGATAAATGAAAGCAGATCCGGTGAAGTAGCAAAGATCGCAGTTTAATTCCACATTGTTATTTCATGAAGGAAGTGATAAGAGCAAAACAAGAACATAATTTTGCCATGAAGGATCACAAATAGCACATCTTCCAACTCATATGTACATTTCTGTAACTTGACACCTTGTAGTTTTGACTAACCAAGCAAGTTGTCTGAACATTCTTCGAACCATTACGTAAGTAAAATAATATGTTGGATGGTCACACAACTTCGGATTAGATTTCATGACTTGCAGAGTTAATTGTACGATAGATAAGTATGTAAAGTTGAGATCAATAACGAGTTCATAAATACTTGCTACCTTGCTACAACCATGCTACGAATAAGTTTGACGACTATTACCAATTTATTACACAAGTTAATCGTATGGAGGCTATCATACTACTTGGATCGGAATCGCTTCCGCTTGCAAAAATTCTTAATATTAGTGTAACTTGTCATGATCTTAAATTCCTAAGCTCGTTGATGAAGCATTTGCTACTGCAGATTAGAATTTACGTCTCACACTCCTCTGATGGATGATCCAATGATTAACGTAAGAAAAATAAAAAGCACATAATTTAAGTACATTAAATCTTAATGCGAAAAATTGCTGAGCCAAAATTGTATTAAAAATAGCTTCAGAATGCAACTGTGCATTAGTGTAGATTGGAGATTTATCATCCGTACATAAATAAGTCAAATGGTACATAAAGCGAGATGTCGTATCATGGAATTGAATAATACAATGTTGAGTTGCTTTTTGCTTTATCACACAACAATTCAGCTATATTTTTTTCGACGTCTTTTTATCAACGCAACAACGCAACGTCAACGTCCATGATGACGAATAATATTGAAAAGACCTAGAAAGCCGAAAAATATAAACTACTTATGGTTAGACGCCACATAGGAGTAAATACGTGCCAACCGCCTCACCAATACCACCCGTCACCACCCCCATTAACATACAAATGGCAGTTAATTTATGAACCATTCTTCAGATAGGGTTGCCTACAAACTTCCCCATCATGAATATACCAGAAATAGTGTGTGCATAATGCTTAATTAAGAGATCCCGTTCTTGTGTAAATTAATTATTTATTTCATGACATTAATGCGCGTCTGTAACGATTATTATTAGTATGTCATCCAGTCCAGGGAAGGTTGAAAGCGTCATTTTTCTAGTGCTTGTGCTTCTCACTAATTTCCTGTTGGGGAAAAGCAGAGTCGTCATTTTGGTGGGTGCGGTCAATAGTTCAAACTTTTACTCAAGATGAAGTCGGAATGTGCAAGTCTTGCCATTTTCATTTTGGGATTATTGATTAGTCCAAGTTTGAGCTATTCGATTCAGGATGAAGAATTTATCGTCGAGACGAAAAAAGTGCTGACTCCTGAGGAGAAAGTTTTAGCGAATCAGGCTCGTGCTGAGATTGCAAAAGCAGTCGAGAATAATTTGATTCGGGTATAATCATTATGCTATAATGACACTTTAAACTAAACCAATTAAACGGAGGAGGAAAATGAGGAGGAAAAAATTAGATGCTTACTTATTCCCCCTAAATTTCAGATATTCGCCATAATCACGGCACAAAACGAGCACCCTCACCCACGCCAAGATGACGACGGTGATATTGAAGACTTGGTCCCCACCCCGAATCCAAACGTGTTACCACAAGTGGCGCAAATTTTGGGGGCAATATTCTCCGGAACTTTGAATATTACTCGCATCGCGGATGGGACGGTGGGTCTGGTGCCAAACTTTGTGAGGAAACAACTCCAAGGCCTGGTCAAACTCTTAACGGGTGAAACTGTCAACTTGAGCGGAAGCAGCACGACGACGACGCCTGCCCCGACGGCAAATAAGGTAAAGTTGTACTTCCCACAATATGACCTGAATATGGATGCACATGTTTAACTCCCAGCAGATCCGGCAAACGACGGAAGTGGACACAATTTTCGAAGAAGAACCAGCCTCGGGAGCACCACCACAAGTTGTGTATCCAGGCGGAGAAGTCGCCCCAGCACAAAACCCACCAACCAACGCCCAACAGAGCTTGGTGGTCGAGGGGGGCGAGGGCGGAAATAAGACGAAATATCGCGTCAGAACCAAAGTTAGGAGAACTACGACCATCTCACCGGACAAAGTAGTCCCACCCGTGGACGATGAGATTGAGAGGATTGAACGCGATTTGAGAGCTGCTGCCAGAATTTTGGTAAACAATAGCTTAATTTCAGACGAGCTATTGCTAAATGAGTGATTGTCATTTTAGGAACCGTATGAGAATAAGGAACCTCGATTCTACGCTGGAATGTTCACAAATGTGCTGCAAAATGTGAACATGACGGAAGTGACGAAAGCAGTGCCGAGCATTTTCAAGGGTGCCACGCAAGCCATCCTCCTCCTGGAGAACCTTGGCGTGCTCGACACTCTGCCGGGGGCAGAAGCGTTGGAGAATTTGGAAGATTTGGTAGATCTGGACATTGATTAAGACAACTCAAGAAAAAAAGAAGAACATTCTGCTTAATTTAATAATAATTTTACAAACTTTCACAATCATATTTAATATTTTGTGTAAAGTTCATATATAATTGTGGAGTAAAGGAATTTCAAGAGAAAGTATCTTTTGGTTGGTCTCGGCTTTGTCGCCAGTGTTCATAACATGCCACAAAGTTCAGCTCGTTGATTGACCCGTTGTTATGAACGTGTGATGAATATTCGATGAGCTCTTCCATTACGAGTAACAACTAGTCTTACACTAATTGATTCAATGGTAATCGTGCACCTGAATGATGTCATTATTTGTGTGGATTTGACCCGTAAAATATGCATCAGAATCCAAAAAAAACTATGGTTGGCATTCTCTTTTAGGGAGCTTTAAGGTTAATAGCAATAGTTTTTATTGTGCTTTTCCCAATTTTGGTCAATCCACTACATTCAGTCGGCACAGATAACAATTAAGTTTTTCGATTGAAGAAGAGGATAACATATTAGCATCAAATAAGTAACTTAATTTATAGTGGAAATTTATTGCTCGGTTAAACACAGCGTTTTGGGGTCAACTGACCAAACTTATTAACTATTAAGCCAATTAGTACAATCCGTGGAAAATGGGGAAAGCACGAATGTGCTTGAATTCAGATACGTACTTATATCCTTCATTATTCAAAATTATACGGCTAAATTTACTAGTTTCATTTTTTAAATGTTATCATTAAACATGCAAAGCATTTTAAAACATTGTGTTCAAAATTAAGTACAGAGATTAATGATGAAATTCTATTATGTCGTGCACATGTCTGCTGCATCTGCGCCATCCTTGTCCTCCTCCTGTCCAACAGTTCCTCTGGACAATACTTTGACCCCAAATTGGACGACAAAATCTACTTGGACAATCTCCAGCATAAGTTGGAATTGGAATTGAACTCCACTCGAGTCAGGCTGGTGGAGCAGGCGAAACTCACGGAAATGGTGGCCAAAGAATTTGTAGCAGCGACAATTAAAGAAAATCTATTCCTGGTAAGGAAACGGAGTACACAAAATTATTTGGGAATTAAAATTACGAAAATCCATTGCAGGCATTGCGCATCATAGCGGAGAAAGAGTTGGAGGAAATGAACGCAGCGAAGCAGGGGATTGTTCTGAACAAGGAAAATAGCACTTTGGTTCCCCTTTTGTTGGCCAGACAGGAGGACAGTGACGAAGATGGCTCAACCACCACGAACACTGGTTTGTTCCCGCAGGTAAAATTTGGGTGTGTCGAGGATGGACATTTCAACGCTATTGTGATTTTGTGAAATGGATCTTGTAGGTGTCCAACTTGATCAAAGCGATTTTCGGCCAAAATCAACGTAAACAGAATATGACAAACTATGTCGATGGTGCAATGTCGCAAGCCAACAAACCCGTGAGCACTCAAGTGGTCGGGTTAGTAAATGCGATCATGGGAAAACCAGTCGTAGATCCGACGAAGCAGAGACTGCCAACTTCACAACAATCGCAATACCAAGTGGGGGGCAAGCCATTCGACCCGAAGAACAGCATCGACCTTTCCTCACCACCTGGATTGGTAGGAGGAGGAGCAATAATGTCTCAACAGAATAACCAGCAACTTGTGGGCATATCTCTCATATTGATGACATGCTGAGATTATTTAAATTAACTAATGGCTTACTTTGCTAGTTGGAACTCCTCCTCTCTCAAACCGGAAGTGGTGGTGGTGCTGGTCGACCAGGTCCAAGTCAAGCATTTCCCCCACAAAACAACTACCTTAACAGCCGACCCCCGGGACAACTTGATCCAGCTCAACTGCAACAGTTGGAGTCATTCTTAGAGCACTTTCAAGCCACTCAGGGTGTTAGTGGGGACGGAGGACAGAGACCAACCTACGATAAGGGGACATCTAAACCGTACATTTATAACCCAACCGGTGTTGGAGGGGTTGGATCATCGTCGGCTGGGTACAAGCCAAAGCCAAATATCAACCGACCACCACCACCAGGACAAGGTCAGCTAACAGAACAGGTACACATTTACAATTTACATACGGTGATATGACGAATATATATGATAACAAAAATATAATGCTACCAAGCAATTCAAATTATTTCCATTCCAGCAACTGCACAACCTGCTGAACCAACAGGGCGGTGGGGGACTGGGAAGACCTCCCTTATTTCAAGGTAACCCGAATATAAATCAGCAAGGCCCACCGGAACATCAAGGGCCCCAAGAACCAGATCAGGCCAGCACAACCATCAGCACCGACGAGGATGACGATGAGGACGAAGATGGGCGCAGATTGAGACAAGTACATTCTTTTACTAAATTATTCTCAATACCTACATTTTTAAAGTGTCAATTTGTCCATTAAAAACCCACCAGTTCGGCCTGGGGGGCCTGCTCAACTTGTTTCGGTCGACTCCACGTAAGTGCTCGTGGTCGTGAAAGGCATTATAACCACCGGAACTGGAAACTATCTGATTTTTTCTTAGGCCCAGCCCCTCCAGTAACGCCCGGTCCTGTGATCCCTGCAACCCATCCGCCCATTACGGTCACGGTGGACGGACAGGCCGTCGTGGTACAGTCCGTACCTGCACCTCCAGCCACGCAACCTCTCGCCGTGGCTGCTCCCATGATGCCAGAAGCCTTTAATGCTGCCACATTCGCGCAAACCGTCACGAAAAACTTTGGCGATATAGTTCGTGTTTTGCCCTCATTGTTGATGGGGGCTCGACAAGGGGTTCAACTCATTCAGACCATTACACAACTATTCGGAGGACTCGATGCCATTGGGGATCTTGCGGGTGGGATTTTGTAGATGTCATCAAATAAATAGCTGATATTTATACATGATTTCAAATGAGAATAAAATGAAGAATTGTTACTAATGAGAATGAGTAGTAAAGCAGACAACATTCATTGCATTACACTCTATGTCCAAGGGGTCTCGATAAGTCTCCATAGACTAAGGGATATACACCTTAGGTATGTATTCCTTAGTCTATGATAACTTATCATTGATAAGTCTCCACTCCAGCAGCCGCTTGCCTGTCCAGAATTGCATTTTGCATTTTCATAACCCATGCGCGTCTCTACATTCATCCACGAAAGAATAACCGTTCTTGGGCCGTTCATCCCTCCAATGTTATCTTAAATGCATGTTGGAATGGAAGAATATAACCCACAAAGGGTAAAAATGGGGTTAATAGACATATATCCAGTGTATATTATACACACGCCTTACATCCACACGCCAATCCACTTCCAACGTGGGCATGCAAAATGCCGATATTACTCGTAAACTGAGAGAGAAAGGCGAAGCGGGAGAAGGAGGCCAGTTGCCTGCAGAAAGGAGTACGAGGCACCAGAGGTTCGTCCGTCCGTACTCCCGCTTATCTCACTTATTGCTTAGACAATTATAAATAGTGTACTTATTAAGGCATCTCTACAACGCTCTGACTGACCCAGGGCCAAGCAAGGAAGGACGACCCACCATCATTGGAGACCATGTCGAGATCCAAGGACCTCTTCACCAAGTACGACCTGCCGACAAAGACCTGCGTCCATGCCCTCTGCGATGGCGAGATTTGTATTCTTAATCCCATCCACATGAGGGACGTTCTCGAGTGGAAGTACGTGTCTTGTCTCCATGTCCCGATGATGGGAGGATTCAAGAGGTAATTCATTTATTCATCTTTTGTACGTGCGGGCCGGTCGGCAGCCGGTATGCTGATTCAGCATTGCTGAATCAGAATACCTACTTCAATCAGCATTGCTGATTGAAATGAATGAATCCATTTGTGAATGAAATCGATCAAGGAAATTAACTTTGTATGAAAGTAAATTTGCATAAGAATTTCATTGAGAGATTTCAGTCATTCATGGATTAATATTCATTCTCACGTATTCTCGGTGTATGAAATCGGACTTATTTTCTCATCCTTGACAGGTTGAAGGGGACGAGGAAGGTGACGAAGGGGAAACCTCAACGGCTAGCGATTTACTATATGAAGCGTGTTAAAAAAGGGAAACATGTGAAATTGTGGAGTGGCGAAGAAGTATTTGACTTCATACAAGCACATAACATCACATTAACCGTGGATTTATTTACATTTAACCCCAAGATAAACTGCGAACTTACTATGGAAAAAAATATCTGGTGGCGAAAGTGTATGGTCGAGGTAAGCGTGGGCGTTATTTTGTTTGTAAATTTGTGATTAATCCTAAATTCGCTCATTATGCAACTACGTATTAGTTGTTAAAATCAGTTGTGTTTTACAGGATGTATCAAATGGACAGGAAGTCCTTCAAATACCTGCTGTTAACTTAGTGGATGATGAAGTTCCAGTAATTGATGAGTACCTACTGACCAGTGTGTTTTCTAATGATCGGGCATGTACTAAACGAACGCATGTATGTTGTGACTGTGAAGACAATTGTAAGGTATGAATATAACCGCTATCTGATTATGCATATGTATCAGAAAATGGCGTTTGAAATGCTAAAAATATATATAAATGGTCTTGATTATTTCATTTTAGGACAAGTTGAAGTGTGCATGTTTTCTCGAGACTTTAAAATGTTACAATCCAGAAGAGAGAAAGATACTAAAGAAGGATGAAAACATTGGATATGACTACAAAAGACTGCCATTCGTTAGACAGAACTTGTCTGGAATATACGAATGCAATTCAAAGTATGCAATTCTTCCAATTTGATACAGCAATCTGGATTCTGCAACTTTCGATCTAACTGGACTAACATAATTACTCCTCCAGGTGTCATTGTAACGAACAATGCTTAAATCGAGTCGTCCAGTTCCCTACGAAATGGAAGCTTCAGTTGTTCAAGGATGAGGAAATCAAGGAAAAGGGATGGGGGGTTCGCACCTTGAACGACATCCCGTCAGGTTCATTCGTCGGCGTGTATACGGGCACGATGTCGCAGGAGAGCCAAGCTAATCTGGTATAATAGTTTTATAATTTACAAATGTTAACATTATCGTCTGACAGTTCGTTACTTCTTTTCTTCACTGCTCACTTTCTAGAAATGCAGCTCCGCCGAGTGGTTAACAGCTGGAAAGTGGAAGTATATCGTGAATCTGCAAGTAATGCAGAATGCGATGAAAGAAACTGTCAAAATCAAGCCGAGAATTGAACCCAAAAACAGAACAACGAAACAACTTGCCGTGAAGTCTGTCCCGCTAATCCCTCAAATCTCGTTTGGTTATCTTGATCTCAACAAAGTCTTCTCAGTTTCGCCAGATGTTCTGGGAAAGTACAACATCTCCCAGCCAAAACTTAACGTTGAAATGGCGAAATCGCTATCCATTAACGTCACCAAACGAAATATGATACTGGAATTCTTGGAAGCGAAGAGAAAGGAACAAATGCTAACAACAGGCCAAACCCCGGCTAACCAAGAGATTAAGAAGAATAGTAACAACCTTACTAAAAAGACTAAACAATTCTTAACTTATACTTCAACCGCAGAAAATTCTACGTACAAAATACCAGAAAATCTTCGTTTTAATTTAGTATTGCATAAAAGAAAAATACTCGTAGCCAAGAAGAAAGGACAATCATCTGCGCCTTCATCTGCAACTTCCACTGCCTCGCTAACCATGCCACTGCCGAAGAATGGTGAAATCGTTCCTGATACATATCTCCCTGTTGTTCAGCTCTCCAATATTTTGACGGAAATAAAAAAATTCAAAGTTGACCCATTCATCGATGACAACGATGAAAATAAGCCGACCAAAGAAGGGGTAAAGGAAATCAAGCTTCAGGTCGTCCAGGCGAAGACAGAGGAAATAGTGGACAAAGCGAAAAAAGTTCTAAAACCAATGCGAGGTCGTCGAAAGACGTCCAAACCTGCAGTGAAGTCTCAACAAACCGTAGCAGCGACACCTGAACAACACTCGAGCAGAAGCAAACGGACTTTACCACCACCGTCATCCCCCTCATCTGCTGTTGCCAGTGGGTCTAAAACAGCCAGCACGAACAATACCGCCAAGATCCCACGACTTGAACTGTCGCCAAATAAAGGGCAAGCATCGAGGATGGCTAGGAATGATGCATTTTCGCCTCCACCACCACAGGTTGCTCAACGAACAAAAGTTATTGCTGTTCCTGCTAGTCGTGTATCACCGCCACGGAATAAATTGCCAGTATCTCCCATCAAGAATCTGGCAATGTCGCCTCACAAGAGTTTACAAGGGTCGCCTTTAAAGAAAGCTGCGTTAAAGGTGAAAGGAAAGTATGCTCTCCGACAGGCAACCGAAAACAAAAACTACACGTTTAAGCAGTATGACCACTTGCTGAGAGTGCAAAAACATTCTAAAATTCAGCCAAAAATTAAGGTTTCGAAAGATTTATATCTCATCGATGGGAGGAAGAAGGGTAATATTGGACGTTACTTGAACCATTCGTGTGATCCAAATGTCTATTGTCAATACGTTTTTGTTGACACGCACGATGTCCGCTTTCCCGTGGTGGCTTTTTTCGCAATTAAAGATATCAAAGCTGGAACGGAACTGACCTGGTCGTATAATTATGATGACGACTGTGACATGGGCATTGATCCACTAGAGTGCAAATGTGGAGCCGATAATTGTAGAGGGATTTTAATATGTTAACCAGACACTAAGAGTTTTTATTAGTATGAAAGTTTTGACTTGTTTGATATGATGTATTAAGTTCTTGCATGGCATGACTTAAATTTCTATGTATATAGAATATGGACACTGTCTTCGTATAGTTTAAATTTTAATGTTGGACTGAAGGGGATTACTCTACGATTCTGATGTCCTTTGAATATTGTGCAGTACTTGGTTGATGAACGAATTAGAACCAATCTGTGGCCCGCCACACCCCCTCAAAGACACTGTTTTCACTTGTTCCCAATTTCCATTTTATCGATATTTAGAAATTTCCTGTCTTCATAATTCTATATATTTGAATAGTTGTTTTATCGTCATATCGATCTGTTATCGAACTCAATTTTTGATCTTTCTAGTATATCAATCAAGTATATTGTAATCTTTTCTGATGATTTTCAAAAGATTGTGCTTGATTGAAGCCAATTATCAAGATCAAGAAAATACAAAAATTATCCAAATTCACTCCAAATTCACTCCAAATTTAATTTGTGCAAAGTTAGGAATAAGTGAAAAGGGGTTTTATTCGTATCCTTGAGGGGACCAGGGAATAAAACCCTCCTTCAGTTTCCCTACACTCGCTAATACTACAACATTTCCAAAGGCATCAAAATCAGAGATTGCCACAATTATTAAAGTAATGAAAAAAAGACTGTTTAGGTTTGACAAATAAATTAAAATCGTTAGAATCTTACAATGAAATATATATCTCACTGAGCGACAAGAATTATTTGAAACTCATTTTTACTCTGTAACGATTACTTTTATTGGATGTTCGCAAATTGAATATAAATAAATTTTTAGGAATGTATTTTTAATGGTAGTAAAACATTATCGTAAGGATCAGCATAACCAGATACGTTGTTACCATCTCCAATAGTATATTTTGGAACGGGGTTGCCAGCAATGACTCCTTCAGTCAAGATGGAACTTTTAGTTGAAGCAATCGGGAATATAATCCGCTCATTGTGTTCTCCCCACGCCATCACGACGATGTCCCGCGCTCCAAGCATGGGAAGTATTAAGGCTGTACGGAAACCCTGAAATTAATCCATATGGTCATGTCATGAGCAAATTTTTGTTAGCGAGCATATTAATTAGTGCACTTATTTATTGGTATTACCTCAACGTAACGATACTCATGGAAATAAACTCCTTCCTGTGGGACCACCGTAATAAAGTAGCAGTTTTCTTGAACGCAGACATAATCTACTCCCGTTACACTCCACTCAGTTCTGATAGTTTGAACCGTAACAAAATTTTTCTGGTCTTCATCATACTGCAGTATCAACACTTCTCCATCCCCAGAATTTCCACTTTGTGCAAATGCAACGAAACTGAGAATCCTTGCCTTTCTATAGTTTGCTCCACTATCAACAATTTCAAGGAAAGCAACGTCCACGGCCCCATTCGTTTTGACATCACGAAGCAGAATGAAGTTCAGAGTGTGTGAGGACCACCGGTAAATAGCAGAATTTGTGAGACAACTGTCAGTCTTTGGATCGCGATTATTGGCAATTCCAAGAACCCAGTCGCCCGCAACAGAGAAGATTGCGATTCGTAAAGGTCCGTAGGAGGGAATTCTTTGGACAAGAGTCAAACTTTTGGGGTTGACGCGATAGACGAAGGTGACAGAGTCGTGTGTATCTATATAAAAAAAACGCCAAATCGTATTGTAAATATTCCAAGAAGGTTAATTACCACTAAACTCTTTTGTTTGTTTGTTTAACATTACTGATCACTTACAGTTTATAGCATCATAAAAGTAAGCTAACACTAAGTAGTCACTGCCTTGTGAAGAAAAAGATTTAACGTCCGACAAGTATCCAATGCTCGAAATATTGAGTAAAACTTCATCAGTCTGTATAGCATTCGTTACGACAAGTCTCGAGGTTTTTTGGGACGTACAGCTTTAAAAAGAAGCAATTGTTATTAAAATTTAAAACACTCAAATGCTCATTATTAATGTCAAATATGTATCACGTATTTGAACATACGATTTGTTGTATGAAACAGAGCCATCCACAATGCTGTACAAGTTGCTCGTCGGGCTTGCCACAATGAAAGTATTCATACACTGGAAAATGTTTGACTCGTCCGCAACAATGGTGGAACCATCGATTTGAACCATTTTAACAGAGTTGCATTGGCACCCCTGTGGCATTCCGGACCCATCCACGTCGACATCAACCGTGTTATAAAGTGAGATAATTCCCCCGTTCGGCATTTCCGTAAATTCCACCCTGCTCTGGGGTCCCAGCGCTTCCCAGCTCTGTCTCAGCCTGACATACTCCAACCAAACTGGGGGAAGGGGTAGGTTTCCTTTCAGTTCTGAAATTTGTGCAAGTTTAGCAGCGGTAGGTTTCGACTCGGGCGTGTCTACGGCGCGAGACTCGATTTCGGTTATGGTACGAGCTATCTTATTTTTCAAATCGTCCAGTTTGTGGTTGTTGACATCTTTCCCGATTTCGATAGAGTCGCTTATTGTGATAAGTTTAGTGAAAATAAAGGGACGAGTCACTATTTCGCGTTGACTTTTCAGGTAAGTTTGACTTGAAACCTCTCCGCCCAGGGTCGCGAAATTGTAGTTGTTAATGTCTGTACTGAATACGTTGCCATCGACGGAGACACCATTTTGAAATGTCTTTTTCCCCAAAATCTCTTGCTTCCCGGTCCCATTGTTGAAAAAAATATCTGATACTTTGATCCCATTAATGAATTCTACGTTACAACTGTCCTGAATTGTGAGGGATGGGACGGTGTAGTTTCCTCGAAGTACGTCATCCCCGTCTCGAGTTACTCGATTACTTAGAATGTCAGCCAGATCGAATCCTTTAGACTTGTTGTACTTGAGATCGCCTGTGATGTCTAGATCGACGAATTCCATGTGATCAATGGTTCGATCGTCAGAGGCAGTGACGAGCCAGTTGTAGTCACCTTTGTGGTTGAGGTCTGAAAACCAAACCAAAAGTGTTTTTAAAAAACTTTCAATTTCCAATCACTGTTTATACTTTTGCTAACTACCTACCTCTAACAGTCAAATCGTCCACGTCCATTTCATTTGGAAAGTATTTAATGCCGAGCACGGTACCGTAGGAATCTTTCCATACAATCTTGCTCAACTCAGTTTTCAAGGCAAGTTTCTGAATTTTGCGAACGTTTATTTGTTGCACTATTAGACTTTGGTCGTTAATAACTAGTCCTTGTATGAACGTATTGTTCCCTTCGAGTTCCTACAATAAGAGATAATTCATATTAAAATTACCGTGATTAATTGGAAAAGTTATTTGCATTACCCATGACTGATCGCCCAAAGCTTCAAGTTGTATGTTTTCCAAGTCGACATCATTAATCCAAGGACGCGCTTGGAGTTCATCGGCTTCAAACCCTTCTAAAAATACGACTTCCGCGCTGATTTCTTGATCCGTGTCCAATGTGACGGCATTTTCTAAGAAGTGACTAATTCCTTGAATGTCGTTACGATCAGTTTGCCAGGTGAGATCTCCAAGGACTTCGATTTCAGAAAATTCTCTATCATAATAACCGCCTTCGTGCCCGTCCAATATCTGTCACACAAGCATTCTAATTTATTGAAACTAATTTAACTAAACGGTCGTTTACTAATCAATGATCAATCAGATCTACAGTTGATCGATAAAATAAATAAAAAATAATGTTAAAAAATAGTCATCCCAATATGATAGGTATTGATAAATGATAAAATTAATAAAATATCATTGTATTTCTACGACTCACATATTCTGTGGAGTGACCATTTACTAAACCATCAATCTGCAGCGGACCATTTACAACAACATCCCCAAAAAACGTTATATCTTCATCCACACCGCATGCTTCAGGGTCGTTGACAAAGACGAGATCCTTTGATTTTATTCCATCGATCGTACCCACATTGAGGTTTTCTAAGTTAAAATACATAGTAATATATCATGTATCATTATCTCATTTGTATTAATTATTATGAATTATTATAAAATACCGTCAACAGTCAATGTGTCAAATGTGAATCTTCCAGTCACATCTTGTGGTTGATTAAGATAAAACGCATATTCCTTCAGATTTGGCAATGAAATTCCATTAACTGTGCCGCACTCGAGATCACCTTCCACATGCAAATTGACAAAGGTCTTAGTGCCATTTATTCTGTAAGCTGGAACTATGTCACGACTGACGACAACCTTAGTCGGGGCAAAAAAAACAGTCAAGGACTTAACCAAACTATGTAACAATGCTTATGAACCGCTATTGCTCACCCGATGCAAATATTCATCCAAAACTATTCCATTAATAGATCTCACAAATGACGGTCCTTGTCCGACGGAAACATCTCCACGAACAACTTTGATCGGGAACTTTAAAGTTTGAACTTCATGCAAGTAGATAATATTACGGAACAGATCGGTGACATTGACATCGTCAATATTTTGTACTTCAAGTGTTGATGCTGTAAAACACAATAAACAATATACTTTTTGAATGAATTATTCATAAACTGATTCAACGTAGCTGCAAGTTACCAGAAAATGAAGCATTAAAGACGACTCTTCCACGAATGGCAATTGGACCATCTTTGTATGCCGTTGTTTTATCCAGCTCGAGAAGATCCACTCCATTCGTAAGTCCTCCCACACCAATGTCCACACTGGTTATTAGCGTATCAATGGTCACTTTGTGTTTGAAAATTTTTCTTCCTCCTACAAACTGATTATCTTCAAAGTTCAGAAAGACCAAATCTTCTGGAATTCTGACTCGATTTAAACTTTCAATTTCAGCCCCACCCTCCATCTGGACTTGAGATTTGAACGTTTTCGTTCCAGTAATTAATCTTCCGTCGCTTCCTCGGACAATATTTTGAGCAAACAAGGATAAGTCTTTGTCATTCAGAGTTTTTCCGTCTGTATGAAGCACATCGCCAAAAACGATGATGTTGTCAGAAAAGTAGAGTCGACCAGTGATTGGTTCCCCTTTGTCAATTCGGACGAGGTCTCTCTCCAAGTTGAGTCTGTTTAGAGTTCCGGTCCTAAAATCAGTCAGAATCTGAACCTTCCTACCTGTCAGGTCTAGCGGCCCTTGGATCACATTGTTTCCCTTGGAGGACCAAAGGTTGTTTTCAAGGCTGTCCATGGTATGTCCGTTCAGAGTTTGTGTCTCAAGACAGTCAACGACTAAGGGCGATTTGAACATAACAGGTTGATTCCGCTGGGTGAAATATGTATGCGTTCTATTCAGTTTAGCGAGCTCGGAAATGTCCTTCTCTCCAATGGTTGCGTACTCTTCTATCGTTATATCCCCAACAATCTTAAACCCCTCCAGCTCCACAGGTCCAGCAATAGTGGCATTCTCATTTTTATGGACGGCGGACTCCACCAGAGCAATTCCGTTGATCAATCCTGTCTCCAGATTGAAGCCCCTTTGGACGTTGAGGGTTCCGGCCGTTATGTTGGAGGAGATCTGTTTGGTGCCATTTACGGAAAGTAGATCGGAGAAAGCAACCTCTCCAATGGATTGGGCGCCTAAGGCTTCCACGTCAACTTTGTCGAATTGGAGGTCCCCTGGAATTAATTTAATTCACATATTTCAACAACTCCCAGCAAGCTCATACATACATTCAGTTTGCAAACCGCATCCATTTTATGCAAATTAATTAACGTTATCTTGAGATTTGTAAAAACTCTTCGCAAAACTAAAGCTAATCTTTAAAAATATGACACGATTTAAAAGATTCCAAACCTTCAATAACTTGGTCTCCACTGTTTCTAACCACATTGGTATAAAAATCTTCCCAGTTGTTTCCATTAACAAATTCGGGTTCAAGGTTTATGATCTTGTTTGGCTTAGAACCAGCAAACGTTTTCATTCCAGTTGATGTTTGGGGAGGACCATCCGTGTGCAAGACAGACTTGTACCATTCGGGAAAGTTTTTCTGTGTCAAACAATGAATAAAATTAAATAATAGTTTCGATAGGATTATTTATTAGTATTAAAAATGCCAGTACGAACATCATTAATAAAACTGAAAGTAAATCCATTTTCCCCAATTAGGTTTGCCGCATGCTTGAACCCTTTGATTTCCTTAATCGGGCTGTTCTTTAAGACCAGGTCAGAGATAATGATCCCATTTACAGTGGCGTCGGCCGGCATGATGATTCCATCCGGAATTGATACGTCTTGTTTGAACACGGTTAGTTGGCTCACTTCTTGTGCTTCCTCTTCAACATTTCGAGAGGGACATATTTTCAACAGGAAATTGTCTACTTCCACATCAGCGATTTTGGATGGAAGAACCACTTCTTGTCCTGACAGTTTGTTAAATGCCCATTCGCCAGTGATTCTTTGAGGTTGGTCAGTATTCTTTTTAAGAGCATATTCCAGTATATCTTCTAAATCAACGTTGTTTAATACCTTCAACTCTAAGTTGGTATTGAGTGCTCTTATCTCTTTTATCTCCACGTGATTCAAGAAATTATAATCGCCACTGATGACTCCAGGCTTATTAGACATCAATACATTTGAAAGTTCGTTCAGTACATCACGTATTAGATTTCGAGATTCTTCCAAAATACTTGCAAGTGCGACAGAAGGTGGGGTCAGATGGTCTTGGTGGTAAAAACCTTTAGGAACAATCTTGATTTCTTCAATATTTGATACGCTTTCATTAAACTTTATAGAATCCATGACGTAGATCGTTCCTGCAAATATATTATCTCCATCAGTGGTCAAGACCGTTTTCTTTTCTTCTTCCAGTACTGGAAGTATTTTCTCGTCTTCATCCAATCTCTTTCTAACTTCACCCAAACATTTAGCCAGTTGACTCTCTGTCTCCTTAACTTGACTGACGGCAATTTCTTTTTTCTCCAACGTTACAGCGTAAACTTTGAGCACCGATCGACTACTGTTATCGGTTTGGACGAGAGTAACAAATACTTGGGAAGACGCTGGTCGTATGAATTTTGCTGACACGATCCGTACATATTTAGTAGGAACAGAGCTGCTATTACTGTTCAGAACGAGTGATCCTGATGTAGTGGACCACGTGTAGAAATGGAGACTGGAACTTTTCGCCGCAAGCAATAGAGGACCTTTATCCAACGGAAGGAGGAATGAATCCATGAATAGAGTTGGGCCAAAATAGTTATCTAGTGTTTGCACGGGGATAAAATCGAGCCCCCCAAAGACATAAGAAACACTTGGTTCTCTCGCATGCCCAATCAACAGATAATGTTCCTCAAGAACTTGGTAGTATTGCAGCGAGACAGGATTATTACTCCAAAGAAGTTGAACTTTCTCCAAGTCCTCTTTATCGTCCATTCGTAGGATCTGAGTTCCAACCTGGGTGAAATATGTAAATTTATTTTATAAAACAAGCTGTTAGAACCCCATTTAGTCTTAAAGTAACAAATACCTCAAGGTTCCCACTCGAATCTTCTGACTGAGCAATGGCAATGTACTCCTTAGAATTTATGGTAAACGTTTCAACAGCAACAGCACCTCTAGTCTGAATAGTATGAATTTCATCCATATACGTTCCAGCCCATCGTAATATCCTGAAACCATAAATATCAAGATCTTCATGTTCAATTTGTATTCCAATCTTTGCAACTTCTTGACTTTGTAAAGTTACCAGGTTTATAATTAGTAAAAGTTTAAGTGTAAACAAAGTTGATAAGCAGTTTACCAACTCAAACCTCCGAATGGTTTGCTCCACAATTTAAAAATTTATATACAACTTACGGACAAACTGTTAAGGAGTGAACCGCATTATCATTCGTAATGACAAGATACAAGTTTTTCTTGACGGTGAAGAATTTCCCTGACGTAGCTACCCCATGATTACGAATCTGTTGACGGAACATGGGCGTCAAATCCTCTCCATAAAGAGTGTAAATGGTTGAAAAGCTGCCATTGGTATTTGAAATGAGGACGAAGCACTTTTGTTCAAATTCTTTAACCTAAATTATCAAATAATAATCAGTTCTGCACAAAACAATCAATTTTTAAACGCAACTCACATGCAATACTCGATCCCCAGAACCAGTTTTCCACTCGTCATTTATCTTGGTTAGTCTCGGGGCTGTCACGTTCTCAGTAAAGTAATGTTGTTCCGGAGTAAATCCAACAAGTTTGTAAATGCCGTCGGGTTGGAGGACATACCCGAATCCATGACAGACAAATGGGTACACGAATTCTGAAGCAACTTTTGTTTCTAGATAATTGTGAGATGGATCCAACTTGACGTCATAAGTGAATCGACCATAAGCTGTGAACAAAATTGATAAACATGTTTTTTTAATAATACACTTTTTTAACCGTTGAACAAAGAAGTAATTACTTACATCGCTTTTCTCTCAGGCTTTCTTCCCTGTAGAAGTTAATAAGCTCTTGGTTGAAACGTTGGACTTCCTCTTTGACAATGTTTTTCACTGGCGAATCCTCCCTCATTTCTTTCTCGTCTTCAAGCTGCTCTTCTGGAAACAGTTTCGTCCAATCGAATCCATCCCAAGAGTTTTCATCCGCCCGAAGAAAGGTGTCATCCCCGGATTGATAGTCAAAATCAGGTTTACATTCCGATTTATTGACGAATGCAACAATCACCAAACAAAGCAGCAGCCCCCAACACCAGGTAACACAGGGATGATTCATCATTATCCTATTATCTGTCTGTGGATCACCAGACCAGGGAGCAGCCTGCTAGCAACCTTGTTGGTTACCAAATGATTCTGAGGAGCTAAATATCTCATACAGCGCACATTAGTATCTAATGGGTATATTAGTAGATTATATACTCCTCCAAATTCCAATTTTGTAGAATCTTACTAGTACCTATTGATCCATGGTGTATGTATGGTAATGCGGACTTTCAGACCAAAGCCGTGAGGAAACCTGTGCACGTTGCTTTTATTTTGGCTCCGGAGCGACACAAATTATTTGAAGGTCTCATCAATCAATCAATTTCATACAAAATAAGTTATTTTAAATAACCCAAAAAGTGACTGCCTCCGTAGTCCGTACGCACAGTTTAAACAAACGCTCAATTGAGCTTAAATACATTTGTATAATACAAATTGTATTTGTGTAACACAAATTGTGTTGCAAGCAATTTTAGTTTTGACGATCTCACATTTCTTCTTGATAATTTTATATCGGTAAACCTAAGTTGGGTTAAGCCTGTGTGTGGCACAACAGACAGTGCTCCTTGTTTGTATCTAGCTTTATAATTAGTCATGCAGGGGAATCTCAGATGAATTACACTTGTAATATGTTACAAGTGTATACGCCCGTCGATTAGCCAGTCACAATGATCCAGTACGTTTTAAATTGGATTATACAACATGATAAAAGAAATATTATATGTACCTAATTTTGTGAGAAATTTTAAGAACACTTCTTGGCCATGTCCACCCTCCCATGATGTCGCAATCGAAAAACTGACTTCAGATTCGAAATCAGCGACCAAAAAACTATAAGAATCGATATTTTCCCACCCCCAACAACGTTGATATAATTAATTGAATTATTTGTAACAATTGTAAACATAGAACATGTGGACATGTAGATATTGGCATATCAGCCATAAGCCACCCCTCCTTTTGAAAACCCCCACTGACCTTTTTGAAAGTTTTAATGCACAAAATGCAAGATCATACTGCCCTACAACTAAAACATAGGCTGATTTGACCAGTTTCAAGTCAGGTCATTGAAACTTTTCCTTGCAAAAGTGACCACAGTTTGTGGTTAGGGGGACAAAGTTGCCTAGTACAAGTTCCGTTCCGCAATTTTTTTAGTCTGCGGGAGGCGCTCGTGGGGGACGTGTCCCTGGGTGAGCTCCCCATTGCAGCTGCGCCCCTGGACCGCCTCTCTGGGGAGTCGGGTCCACCCGTGGTTTGTCCCACAGCCCCGACTCTCTTCCCGTTGGAGGGGTGGTCCGGGGGAGCAACGCTGCAAGGGGAGAGCCTTACGGGAAGGTCCCCCCTCCAATGCTCCTCCCACCAAGCAGGCTCACCGGGTGGGGAGCCGGCGGGGCTTGCCAAAAGTGCGGGTGGCGCTTGGCAAGTGAGAGGGGCTCTCTACCTCCAACCCTTGGGTGACGCCGCTCTTTAGCGATACCTCCCCTTGGGGCCGACCGGGTTCCCGAGTTCGAAGCCTTAATGGGGGCCGATTTACGGGTGCGCTCCCACCTCGTAAGGCGAGGGTCAGACGGGCCCCCTAGGGGAACGCGGTTGCAGAGGCGGCGACGTGGGCAGGGCTTTCCCGGTCGGTGGAGGTAGACGTCCGCGGACGCATTCGGGCGTCCGCGGGGGCCGACCCGCGTGGAGCACGAGGGAGCGACGTCCTCGTCGTGTGCTCTGGAAACGCCCTTTTTAGGGGGGCCAACATCTCCCCCCCACCCCTTATGAATGCATGGCATGGCGACAACCTTTGTCGCCATGCCATAATTTCGCCATTTCTCGTCCGATTTGCATGAAATTTCGACAGAGACTTCTTATTGGTCTTGTCGACATGTCGCAATGCTCCACCTACCGCCACCACCTTGTTTTCGCCAAATTTCGTCGCCATGCCATAACTTCGCCATTTTTCGTCCGATTTCCATCAAACTTCGACAGAGACTTCTTTTTGGTGTTATCGACATGTCGCAAGGTCACACTCACCGCCACCACCTCGTTTTCGCCAAATTTCGTCGCCATGCCATAAATTCGTAATTTTTCGTCCGATTTGCATCAAACTTCGACAGAGACTTCTTTTTGGTGTTATCAACATGTCGCAAGGTCACACTCACCGCCACCCCCTTGTTTTCGACAGATTTCGTCGCCATGCCATAATTTCGCCATTTCTCGTCCGATTTGCATGAAATTTGGCACAATGATTCTTATTGGTGTTGTTGACATGTCGCAAGGTCCCACCCGCCGCCACCCCCTTGTTTTCGCCAAATATCGTCGCCATGCCATAATTTTGCCATTTATCGGGCGATTTGCATGAAATTTGGCACAATGCTTCTTATTGGTGTTGTTGACATGTCGCAAGGTCCCACCCGTCGCCACCCCCTTGTTTTCGACAGATTCCGTCGCCATGCCATAATTTCGCCATTTCTCGTCCGATTTGTTGAAATAATAATGAGAAGTGAAAAGTAGGCATTCAGATTCAGTGCGGCATTGTACCCGTCCTGGTCATTGCATCGACAACTCACGGCACGGTACCGCGTTCCTGGCGATTGGTCGGGAAAGGATGCGTCACGACACCCGTTCGAAAAGTCAGATCCTCCACAATACCTTTCAACCGGGATTATCCCGTTCTGCTCGGCGTAAAATTTGCTGGTCAGAGGAACTAAGGAAACGGAAGACACAGAGGGACATGTTAGATATGAAAGTGGAACACGGAAAAAACATTAATGAGGTCGTTAATCGGGGTCACTTTACCTGAACACAGGCCCCGATTTAGGGGCGGGCAACCCGGGCCGCCGCCCGGGGCGCCGAATCCCTTGGGGGCGCCAGCAGGCGCCCGGGTTTACACTAGATATAATTGAATTTTCCTATTGTAAATTTTGAAAATCTTTTCTTGGAGTCTTTATTTTTATCAAGTTTTAACAACTCATTGGGACAGTTCTGATGTTTTCATGCACCTAATTGGACGTAATTCTATACAAGTGGCCGGAACAATGGTTTGTGCAGAAAAAGTATGAACGATTCTCCATAAAACTTCTGACAGGTATATTCTGCAGAAAGGTTTAGCACAATTGTGCATAATTCTCAGGGTTGGCCAAGATAATTTTTTTCAAAGATACAAGATAAAAAATATTTGAACGAAATCCTAAGATACTAAATACAAATAATTAGAGTTACACAAGATACCAGATACAAGATAGATTTTATCTGCTGTGATCCCAGATACAAGATACAAGATATTTATTTGAAATAATTTTTTCAAGATACAAGATAAATTATTCGGAGCTTGCAAATAACCAACTATGCACCATTTGATTTTTTGTATTGTGGCCGAGTAACTTGTTAATAAGAATAGTATACGACTCTTAACTTGCATTATAATTTATAATGCAAGTCCTCACCCTCTGTTTATAATTTATAAACAAATGAGAATTTCCAACATTTCATGTGGTGACCCATACTGATTTTTTAATTGTTCTATGGAGTTGAAATTATTATTACCAGTATATTCATTTGAAATTAGGAATAATTGCTCTAATGGTGGTACAAATTAGGAATATAAAGGCAAATTACAAAATTTTCCAACGGCGAGGGTTTATTTACTGTGCATAAATAAATATAGCGACGTTATACAACAGAACCTTGCATCTGACTCGGCAAAGCTGTACACTAAGGTTTTTCAATGATCATTATTCCAAGGTTTAATGTTGCCAAATATGCAAGTTTCTCGGGTTTTCACTAAAAAAAAGTATCTTGTATCTTGACTAGTATTTCAAATAAATTCTCCAGATACAAGATACAAGATACAAAATACTTTTGCGAAACGTTCAGATACAAGATAAACTCCGTTATACAAGATACAAGATACAAGATATATCTTGTATCTGATATCTTGTTAAATTATCTTGGGCAACCCTGAATTAATTCTGCATATTTTGTGCAAAAATTGTTTCGGCATAAATTTTTCTGTATAAAACCCAGCCAAATATCTGTGTAAAATCCCTTAAATTTTTCACCCATTATGGTTGTGAAAAATTATTCAACCGTTAAATAAATGATAGAACAAATTTCAACCAAGTGTTGTGTTCTTGTGTTAACCTCTATTTTGCTCAACTTGTATATTTTCTAAAACTTAAATTTAAAATAATATGCCAGGCAATACATTTAGAGTTTACGCTGTGGAGCAAAATAAATTGTATGATATAAAAACACTGGCATTGGTTACATAGCATCTTGACAGCTTGCTCGAGGTAGCCCAGAAGAATTGTGGTTTTATGCATATCATTCCAATTTTTTATAAATTTCAAGAGGACTCACTATGCAGGTCTTCTACAAGCAAAACTGAAATCTCCATGCGACAAATTTGATATTGTTCACAACAGAAAATAAGCATCACCGCACTTTTGCATTTTTCATAATACGCTCCTTTGAGCGCTTGGTACGAATTGTAAACTGTTTTTTCCAACCGAAACCTCGGGTTTCAGGATTTTCGAATTTTAGCGCGAATCCAAAAATTCGAAAACATGTTTCACTAGAACGGCTCACCTGGCTTATAAAAAAATTAGTAGTCTGCTAATTTGAAGTTCAGCATACCTTGCCAGTATTTTAAATTCATCAAAATTATAAACTCGTTCAAATTTTCAAACATTTTGCATGTGGATTTTTTTATAAATGAAGTAAAGCATTCTGAATAGACATAGTTTCGAATTTCTTGATTCACGCTAAACTTTTGAAAATTTGCAGAATTAAAAAAAACGAGGTTTTTGCTGGAAACAACTTAAAATTCACGTTTCGCGCTCAAACTACCGCATTATGAAAAATGCAAAAATACGGGGACGTTTTTTTGTGGTGATCAAAATAAAATTTACCCTATGGAAATCTGTGTTTTACACGCAAATGACCTGCACTGTCGGTTTTTTTAGGCATATTTCCAATTGCGGCATCGGTCTCACAGTTTGTTACCAATTTTAACAATAATCACGAAGACATGTAAAAGAACACTCATATGTTTCTCTATTTTTTTTTTAAATTTACATAGATCTAATAAATTTCGTGGTATTGCTAATTACATTTCCCAAAATTGGAAGGCATTATATCTAAAAATATTTTTACCAAAACGTCATGAATACTTGCAAATTAACAAATTTTTCCATTATACAATTTTGGATACTACAATTTAAAAAAGTTTTATACGTCCAAAACGACACACTGAATCATTATTGACCAAAAGCTATACCTACATAATTTTAAAATGGCGCAGAAGTATAAAAGGTTCATTTGCGATAAACAAAAAGCGAAGCACACCTCCTAACCAGCGCACCACGCGCGAACCACACCAGCAAAAGTCTAAAACCCGGCGAACCACACCCGGTGTGATTCGCGGTGTAGTCGGTGCGCAATTTTTGCGAACCGGTGGTGCGCCGATCTAGAAACTAACAAGTGTGCCAAAATCAGGATTAAGAAAATCAGCAAAAAAATTTCACATTTTTGCATGTATATGTAGGTATCTCGAAAGTTTGCTGAGCCCGCCCCAATATTGTCTGTATTACATAATATTGATCTTCTCAATATTATGCAATTTCAAGCTCTTATACATTAAATCTGTAGGAGCGCAAAGAGTTTACTATCTCATTGCATATGTTGTATATGTCCATTCTAATAAGGCCTGGGTAAGAATATTTTGCGCAAAAATTTGACTGAGACAAAAGCTGCATGCGAGCGCCGAAGGCGCGAGCGGCTAGGGGCGCCTAATTTCTTTGCCCAGGTAAGATTTTGGGCTAGATCGGGGCCTGCCTGAACACAATTTAAAGATATCGTGACGGTGGTGGGCTCATGGTGCAATCGTCATTCCAAGAACTGGAGCATTCGTAGCACCGAATTCGCGAGACTGGAAAACGCAGAAAATTATTCAATCATGAGTTCGAAAGTCACTCCTATCTAATGAGAATCGGCTGTGGTACCCAACGTATTTCACAGAAATCAAAAACCCATATTATTAAATTTTTAATTGCACGTGTTCGAAACAGGTTATTTGGTCCAAATTAATTTTAAAGAGGAAAAATACGAGTTGAAATAATTTATAAAAAAAACTAGAACAAATTCCTAGAAAAGATTTTAAAATCAGAGATTTTATTAGGGAGGAGAGCCATACCAACTGTTCCACAAACCCTGTTTCCATTTTTAGCAAAAAGCAGAGTGAGAGTTGGACTCTGGTGGGTATCACCACCACCGGCGACTGTCGATGCGACAGTGCCGTATGGTGGTCTGTCTCACTTCTCACTCTCTGCAAATTGTTTACCGGGATTATGAACCAACTCGTGTTGAGATGCTTTTTATCTCTCACACGAGTTGGTTCATCTTTGGAATTCTCCAGTTTTTTAAAATAAAACTAAAAAAGTGGGAGTTTTTTTTATAAAATATTAAAAAAGTGAATCATGGAGGCTCACTCCTCCCTCCCAAGAGAGCAGCCACCTTCACCACCACCCCCAATATCACCCCTGCCACCACCGCCACCCCCAATTTCGACATCACTTCCACCACCACCACCGGATACTACCACACCCACCGAAATAAGCCAAGGTAGGTACCT